CCGCGAAGCGACTCGACGGAATACGAAACGAATTGCAGATCCGGCGCGAGAATCTGTGCCGCCGTCTGCAGGGCATCGCCGAGGTCGGAGTGCTGCTGGTGTTCGACTGCGTCGGCACGGTTCATGAAGTCTTCGGCTTCGCGCTGGGTGATGGAGACCGGGCAGCCGGTGTTCCAATGGTGGGAGCCCTGGTCGTAGTCGTTGTTGCTTCCATTTTCCTCATAGCCATACTGATTGTTGCTGTTACCGCTTTGACCATAGTCTTGTTCTCGACCGTCCGTCTGCGCGAGAGAATCTCCGTAGCTGGCGGGGAAGTTGGGCAGCGCAAGGCCCAGAGCGAGGAGGGGCGATGCGACGAGGAGGAGCTTCATCGTGAGGGGGAAGAGTGAGTGCTGAGGTCAGGGAACGGAAGGGAAGTGGAAGGAGAGGTTGTTGTGAGTTGATCTCTGCACCCTGTCAGATGGGAGATGCTGCTCTGGCATCTTTGTACCTTGCCTCGTCGTCTTTTCTTGAACGCGGTGCTTCCCGAAAAGGTCCGCAGCCTATACTCGTTCGAATATTGCGTCTCGGCCCCGTGGGAATAAGGGATCATCCCCGCGAAAACGTTTCGAGATATCCAGTACGTATAAGATGAGTAAGACCCCCGAGTCAGACAGAAAGATGTTTACCATGGGGTTCTCTGGAGGCTCAAGCCTGTCAGAAGCCCCCCGTACATCCGGACTGAGGCTGGATTTCCATGTGGTCGCCATGGGCTGGAGGTCGAGGCTGAAACTCCTATTATCGCTCCGGATCAGGGTCAGGGCTGCCAATTTCCCAGTCGTAAAGGTATGTAGTGTTGCTTTTGATGTCCTCGTTCGGTACTTTCCACAATAGAGCTTGCTGTCTCAGCGACGTAGTACCACGCATCGCAGCCAGGTCTCCGCGTCGTACAGTAGTCCGGATACATAGTTGTCCGTGATACATCCGACACCACCGAGTTTTCGCCTAGAAAGGAGGAAGGGCTCCGAACGAAAATATCAGGATATGGGGTGCCTGAGAGAGCTTGTCACAAATTGAGAATGGTGATGGAAGACGTCGACATGATCTTTCAAAATGCTCAAATGTTGTATGCTCATATCGACTGTTCTTCTTATATCTGTTCAAATCAGCACTCTTTAGATTAGGCTCGTTTACCAGCGCTTGATGTCGCCCTTCATACAAACCGTTCCGTCATTGCTCACGACCTCGATCGGGACGTCTTCATTCCCAGCACTGCCCTCATCCATCAAGATCCTGTATCCCTCTCCGACATACACCGGACTCGTGGCGCGATATTTCAACGACTTGGGAAACACGATCCCACTCGCCTTCTGCTCGTCTCTCCAGAAGTCCAGCATGGAAATCATGTTCAACGGTCCGTGGACCACCGTGTCCCGGTGTCCTTCCACATCCACCGACCACGGCTTATCGTAATGGATGCGGTGCGCATTGAATGTCAAAGCGGAAAATCGGAACAGAGTCGGCGGATCGCGATTGAAGTGCCTAACAATCTTGCCGTTACCGGCATCATGAATCTCGGCCTCGCTCAATTCCGTCGGTCTCTTAGGAGCGGTAGCCTTCTTGGAAGGGTCGAGCGCTTCGCGGAAGACCCAGTTTCGGTTGTCGACGACACAGAGTTGGTCCGTGGAATCGTAGAATTCCTTGACCACGCCGACGACGAGCATGGCTTCGCCTGTCTTCTTGATGGTCTTGGGTTCGCAGGACAGGACTTTGGTGACCTCGGTGGCCACGTCTCCGACCTTGAGATGGGCGGTGCCCTTGGACGGATCTGCTCCGGGCCATTGGATGGAACCACCAGCCCACATGCGGCGGGTGAAGGGCGCTTCCTGCAGTGAAAGTGTTAGCTCTGGACAACGGGAGGTGTAATGGGGATGCCTACCGGATTGTACGACGTGTCGGTTCCGTCTATACCCAACGCTCCCGGAAGCTGAGTCGGAGTGAAATAGGCATTGTGATAGCCCGCCGGCAATGGTGTGCCATGTGCAGGCTCGCTTTGATCCAACGATTCCGAGCCGGGCCAGAGCTGGGTGCGGTCGAGTGTTAATGCAAACAGACGGGCCTGATTGGCATCCAGCAGTTGCTTCCGAACGAATTCCCGGCCGTTTGCGAACTTGGACAGGAATGCTTCCCCGATCTGTTCGGGGGTCTTCTGGCAGTGCGAGGGCGAGTGGTGGAACGATCGAATGCCTCTTGTAGGAGCTGGTGTTCTGCTGGCTGACAGGAGACTTCTGGTGGAGTGTCTTGTTACGCTGCCCATATCTGTAGCTTCAATCTCTTCCCGAGAGTAAAATCAAGGTCTCGTGGCCTGTCCTTCGCATCGTGAGCGTAATAATGGCATCCAGAGGAGGAGGAGGAGGAGGTGATGTGGTTGGTTCCGTTCGGGAATAAGGATGACAGCTGGTTGATGGAAGGGGCGTTGAAATATTGATGGGATCACCTCGGATAAACGCGTTCCCCAAACTCTGTTCCATCCGCCTGCAACAATGTCTCGATGGAGATATATCGTGGACATATATCAATTGAGATGTACCTGGTGTCCGACGACCCATTGCAACGCTCTACAACGATCGAAGGAGACGCTTCTCCAGGTCATCAGACGCTTGGCTGGTTTCGGCAGATACACATTGATCGCTTCCATCCCCAGCTAATACGCTACAGTGGCCTACTAGACGAGCAGTGATGTACATTATTACGAGACCTAACCTTCAAGACTATAGCGAACATGTACCACCCTACCGCGCTTCCAAATGTGGCCCTCATTCGACACCATGCACCGCAACCCGACCGTGACCCGGAACTCGCTTCAATACTTCATTCTGGTGGCGATCGGAGCCTTTGTCTGGCAACGGTTCCTGTTGCTCATATTTCTTGTGCTCGCCTCTTCTCCCTTTATCTGTTACTGCGGGCATAGGGAATCCAACTGCGTATGTTTTAGGATCTGATAAGTGAGACGAAGAGATTCAAACACAGAAGCCCTTCTGGGAAACACCTGATAAATCAGTCAAACACCTCAGGTATTCCGCTAACCTCTATACCCTATGCTCGGCAAGTATGGCTTCGGATATCTTAACCTCTCTGTGGACTGGACCTACAACAGCAGAATGCCATTGTACACCCCTCTCTGGGCCTCCATGACTTCTCACGCTGGTTCCTCTACGCTGTCCTCCACTACACTTATACCTGGAACGCCAAAGCATGGCCTGCGATGTCCTCCATCGCACATGCTGTGCGGTGGTATGGAAAGGATATATGGGCCGCGGTGAAGAAGTCTTTGAGTAAAAAGTCTGAAGCTGATGACTACGAGGAGCCGTATCTCTAGCTTATCTTTCAGTCCGAGGGTGTGAGTATCGTTGTCTCCACGCTGTTGCGCCTCGACCGGGTGGTTGTGGATTCTCTTCGAGATGAGGATGATGCTCCCTAGCTTGTTCATGGAGAGCTTCTCGGAGCGGTAGTATTTTGTAATATTCTGAAACTCTACAACAGAAGCTGGTCGGCGGCGCCTCCGTAGAACATTGTTCCCATGGCGTATTTCTGCTCGTTCGGTCTTCTATTATCATCAGCAGGTGAAGTCGAAGCAACGGACTAGGTACATGTAGTGAAGAGATGACGATGTTTTAGCAGGCCGAGCTCCCCCCCTCCGAGCTGCACGATCGCCCAAACTCAAAAAGACACACTCGGCTTCCAACTGGACGGTTCGCTTGCTTCCATTCTTCTTCCTACAATGTCCCGTCGCCCTCCTCCGATAACCTCACCCTCATCCTCACCCTTCATGCCATTGCCATTGCCATCCCGATAGCCACGTGTATCGAGCACCACCGCCAGCCATGCCGACCGAACTGCGTAACCGCAAAGTTGCCCCACCACCACCACCACCACCACGCGACCCTCCCTCCGAACGAATCCACAAAGAAGAAGAAGAAGAAGACAAATCCAAACAAAAATCCACACCCAGAAGAAGCGCATCCTCCTCCGGGAGAAGAAAAGATGAAGGCCCCCCGGATCTCGAACCCAACATCTGGGTCGTGGCATGCCTCTTCCTCCTCTTCAGCCTCGTCGTGGGCACCTTCGTCTTCTACAAAATCGACAACCGCGACGACGGCCCCTTCGCGACGTGGGTGAAGCGGCAATCCCCCTGGATCGACGCCACGTTCAACCGCTCGCCTGCCCTGCGGCGGCAGCAGACGCTGCTGTTCGGTGCCGCGGCGCAAGAGACGACTCTAAAACTCACCGAGGAGGAGTTGAAAGCCTTCACGGGCAAGGACGCGGAACAACCGATCTACCTGGCCATCGACGGCGTCATCTTCGACGTCTCCGCCAGCCCAGCCTTCTACGGGCCCGGGGGCCACTACCATCACTTCGTCGGGCGGGACGCCACGCGGGCGTGGATCACGGAATGCTGGGACGAGGAGGAGCAGTTCACGTGGCGGCTGGACGGCGTGGAAGCCATGTTCCTGCCCAAGTGGATGGACGAGACGATCGAGGCGGCCGGACGGGGGGAGTTCGAGGGCGTCGAGGGGCTCGACGCCATGCCCAAGGACATGCTGGGGACTCTGGCCAAGAAGGCGATGCAGAAGTATGGCAGCATCACGGACGGGGAGAAGAAAGAGCGCAGGAAGCGGGATCGGGAAGAGGCGGAGGCCAAGGTGAAGGAGACGTTGGAGCATTGGAAGGGGTTCTTCACGGGGAATGGCAAGTATAAGGTTGTGGGGGAGGTTGTTCGGGATGAGACGAGGCCTGCTCCGCCGAAGCCTTGCGCGGAGGCGATGAAGAAGAGGCCGACCAAGGGAGGGAAACTGGAAAGCTTGATGGGGGCCATGGGTGGTATGATGGGTGGGATGGGAGGAGGCGGCAATGGGGAGAAGAAGGGTGAGATGCCGGACTTTGTGAAGCAGAAGTTGGCGGAGCAGAAGAAGGCTGCTGAAGCGGAAACGATTGAAGAGGTTGAGTTGGAGGATGACGACGACGGGCTGGCTCATGAAGAGTTGTAGTAGAATCCGATCTGCTTGGCTTTGTTGTGATGATGTATGAGTACAGCACAGTAACTTTTTTGGTCGTCTCTGCGAAAAATGTACAGACTCTACGCCAACTCTGCCACATCCGTGCGCGGGCCATATATCTCCCTAACTAAAAGTCGCTTCAGATCTTGTTATCTCGCCTTCGAACGCCTTCGGATGGACTCGGTCTTTGACGGAGATGACGCGATAATTCCCAAAATCACTCCCCTCGTCCGGAACGGCCGACGGCGACGGGATATCACGCAGCTGCACGCCCGAATCGCGATTCCTGCCGGACCGCGTCCGCCAGCTGGAGCTGGAATTGCCCGTCGGATAGGGCCCCCAACTGCCCCCCGTGGCCACCTTGTAGACGCGTTGCGCGAGGCCCGCCATGGACGGCAGGCACGCACACACGACCGACAGGTTCAGTTCGACCATACTCCACAGCGCGGGGAAGTTGTTGTGCCAGGTGGGGTTGGTGGTGCGGCCCCAGGCGATGAGGTACTGCAGGCGGATGATGCTGCAGATGGTGACGAAGAGGCCGAAGGAGAACATGAGGCCGACGCCGATGCGCTTGCGCAGGGACATGGTTTTGATGCGCATCAGCGCGGTGATGGGGAGGATGTAGACGAGGATGTCGAGACCGATGTTGGTGCCTGCCATGGCGAAGACCTGTGGGACAGAGAGTCATCATCAGAACTGGGAAATCCCAACGTCACTTTTTTGTTCTTTGTGGGAGAGGCGAGGCTTACGACCGATTGTAAGTTCGTACAGTGGCCTTCATGTTCCCCGTCCCAGTAGAGCCTGTGATTGGTTTGAATTAGCAATGCACGAAGATCCTATGCTTCTGCTGCTCCTACCAAGAATGGTTGATCGGCCAGCACTGGAAGGCGAGAGACAGGCATAGCCCAAGCGATGCGAGAAGCAGTACTCCCAGCAAGACGACGCAGGCAATCCGAAACTTGGACCGGCCCGTCTCTGATTTCTGCCAGATGCGCAGGTAGAGCAAGACCTGGAAAACTCAAGACATGGAGGTGTAAGTGACTGGCTTTTGACTTGATTGCAGAAGTAGTGCCCCCTGGGTGGACTTACCACTGCCATCTTCGTCGCGGCGAGAGCTAGGATATAGCAGAATTCCCCCGACCAGAACGCTCTCAGGATAAAGGTCACATCGTCCGGATCCACCATCCAGACATCTCGACCGAGACCGTGGTGTGTCATGATGTCCATCGTGATGTTCAAAGGGGTGACGAGTAGGAGACCGAGGCCTACCATGAGGTCGTCTGGTCCCAGGCCGCTGCCCAAGAATGCCGTACTCCGGAAGAGGAATCGCCCAAAGACGGTGATGCAAGCAACGCAGTACAGCGCCCACGCCACGTTTCTCGTGCGGCCACCTTGGTCCCGAATGGGAGCTTTGCATGTCGTCTTCTGAAATCTGAGCGCAGCTGTACATTACTAGGTCAGAAAGGGCAAGAGTGGTCGACGGAGAATAAGAATTGCTAGACTGACCAAGTGTCTCTCGGATCGTACACTCTTTCAAGCAGCCTCTCACAGCATCGGCATATTCCGCGCTAGTACAGAGACAGGTCGTGTTCGTTGGCGCGCAACCCGAGAATTGGACATTGCCGAGGACACATCGGGTCTGCAAGCCATTAGCTCGCTGTCCAAGGGCTCGAACTGATTGTTCCATGTCGGCGTGGGGAGCGGAAGATCCAAGCCTCCATCCGCAGTCCACTCATGAACGATCTATCATTATGCACGTCACCTAGGCCAAACCGACTCACCGCGCATGTTGAAAGTCCCAAATCCGGAACCGGAGAATCCTGTGCCAGAGCTCCTCCCAAGCCAAAGACGAAGACCAAGAGGATCAGCAAGATCCGTGAGTGACCCATCTAGTGCACAGCGTGGTGGTCAAAACCCGCCAGGCGAAACACCTGGTGCAAGACTCGCGAGGCGATAACGTAGGAATATACGGTCCGCATCAGTCCACGCCAGTATTGAGAGTCCTGCGTTCGAGCGGAGGGTGTCACCGTGGTCTCCTTCTCGTAACTTCCGTCCCGGAAAGAGATAGGCTGGCGTTGACTGGAGCCATTGACTTTTAGGGGTCGTAGCTGGCTGGGATCGCCATGCTCCGAGTCGAAAGCACATGGGCAGTCGACGCAGGAGGTAGTTACTACAGTAGAGCCTCTGGAAAGATTGATAAAATGCTGGTTGTCCCGTCGCCTGCATCGTAATCTGAGTCCGCGTGTCTCGACCATCAACCTTGAGGTTGAAATTCAGCATACATTTCTCTCTTTCCGCATCCAGAGCCAGAGTTCGGCAGATGGGAGACTTTCGAACACTGACGACCAGGTACGGTCCCAACCGTAAGGTGGGGAAGTACCTGTCACATGTCAGTGTGCATGGCAGCCTTGAAAGTTGTTGGCCTCGGAAGCAAAGTTCCGCATGAATTATCCCGGATCCCAGTTCAAGGTCGCTTCAACACATGGCTGGATGCTCCAACACCCGTGTTCACAACCTCATGATGATTCTTCATTTGGATGCAACATCTCTCTAGGCGTGGCTTGGCGGTAATGTCCGCTACCATGGGGAAAATCCCCATTAGGGCGCGATCTCAACAAACGTACAGTAAGTCGATGTCCTTGACAGGGAGGCAAGGGTAGAGGGGCGATGGGCAATATTCTTCACGGCCACAAGCATATTGCAATCATACATCTGACCTGCCCCTTCAAGACATGAGCGTCAAGTCATCAGTGCCACTGAGATCTACACTCCCTGTCCCAAGCCCTCTCGGACAGCCCACTCCACTGCAGCGAACCTGAGCGATTCAGTCCGCGCCCGTGTGCAATCTTCCTGCCTATGATCTTCGGCTGCCCGGCAATATATGGGCAATCATACGTCCCTTCAGACGTCGTCCCAGGATCTCCAAAGGTAATGCTGTGGACTCTTCGCTCAGCTTCGAGCTGGGGGTCTCTCCTTCTCCAGTCTCACGGCCTCGTCAGACGCATTGAAAGTTGTGGTTGTCCCTGATTGTGAAGCCTCTGCCGGAGGTATTCATTGGATACAGACGCGTCAGGCCCTCGATCACATCAAACTCGAAGTCGGCGCAGAAGCGAGGTTGGTCGGATCGCCGCTGGAGCCAGAGGTTGGCGTTGAAGGCCGTCTTGGAGGCTCATCGTCTTCGTACTTGTCCTGTTTGTCTTAGCTGATATACTCGTCCATGGTAGGATTTGAAATGCCGAAGTCGTCACGATAGATTGTCATCGTGAGTGCGGCAGGTCTGCTGGAGCTCCAATATTCCGCCATCTCATCGTTCCCCGTCGAAACCTATTCCTCTATGCGCTGGGCGTCTTCAAGCAGCTGCTGTTGCTTGCGGATCTCAGCTTCTTTCTTCGCCTTGATCTGGGCTTGTCGTCTTTGCTCGAGCAGCCGCTTTTCCCTCGCGGCTTCCTCCGGAAATCTGCTTTGCGCGTTCTTCTACAACGGCAGCTTGCCCAACCACGTGGGCGGCCGGTTGCACATAGAAGTCGTCGTCCAAATTTTCAGGCTTTAGGCGCATTTGCCGACTGGTACGTATGCTCGAGCTGTTGCGCAGCCTATGCAAGACCGTGGCAAGAGCTCTCGAACACATAGCACGATCGAGTCAGAGTACCACTTTGCATAAGGCCTTTCCTCAGCGCCCATGGGCATCGCGTCCACAAAATCCTATTCTTCGACCGTTCGAGCAGGATCGTTCCACCAACGCCCAGCGTCTGCCCTGCGGGCCTACTCATCTTGGATCCGAACGTGACCACGAATCTTGTCCAAAGCGCGTTTGATCCCGAGCATAACAAGACCTTGTAAGTGAATGGTAGGCGAAAAAACAGATCAAAGACACTGCATGCTTTGATGATGGGGTATCTCAAAAAATTCGAAACCTCGGGCGCCTCTCGCGCGCGTGGAGAAATTCAAAAAGCTCACGCGTAGAACTTCAAACACTTGTTCTCGTCGTGTGCATCCTTGCAGAGGACGCTGCAGGTCATGTTGCCGCATTTCATGCACTTCACGCGGCCCCAGTAGCCGCAGATCTCGCAGAACTTGCGTGCAGGCGGCGCGCCGGGCGGAGGAGGTCCGGCTCGTGCTTGGTTGTATGTGAGGGGTGGAGCGTTCAGTAGGGCTTCCATCTCAGCTGGCGTCGGTAAGGGTGGGAGTGGTGTTGAACTGTCATCGGCATCGGCATCCACATCCACATCCATTGTGTCGTCGCCAGGTATCGATGCGGGCTGTTGCGGCAGAGGTACAGCAGAAGGAGCAGGGCTCCCGCTCACACTGCCCTCCTCCCGCTGAAGCTGGGAAGACTTTCGTCTTGCAATCGGAGTCTTACTCGCTCTCTGCACTGACACCGGCACCGGTTCCATATCCACCTCTCGCCTCCCCGTCCTCGCAATCTCCGCCTCTTCGTCGTCCAGGTAATGTGCAAATGTCTTCCCACTAGCCAGAATCTTCTTCGTATTGGGCGTCTTACCCGCTCTCACGACTCCTCCACCACCGCCACCGCTTCCGCCCTCCTTCTTGGGAATCGCAACGTGCGCATCTCGTCCCGGATCACTGTTCAACTCTTTCACCTTCCGCTCGGCCTCCCTCTGCCGTCGTGCCGACAGCGCCTCCTTCTGGCCGTCCGTCTGCCCTCCCCCCGTAGTCCTCGGCCGCTTCTTATGCAACGTGCCCCAGGTCTTCGCAGGATCCGCCGCCGCGGCGGGCCCAGCAGAGACCGCCACCCACGCAAATCCAGGCGCCTGTCTCGTGTGCGCGGAGGGGAGTTCTTCGATATGTGGCGTTCGGAACCGCAGAGCGCCCGACGCCATCGCTGCTACGACAACGTGTGGCTTTGCCTTGAAAGTTGCGAAAAAGGAGTGTTGACGTAGAAGCGCTCCACCGGATGGGGGCGAGTTGTACCGTGGGCTTCCGAAGAAGATACGAATGGCGACACACGTTCCAACAAAGGCTGCACGCGACTACTGACACTGACACGCATGTGAAGGCGGATTATTGACGCAACCTGGAACCACTCCGGCTCGGTCCGGATCAACGTTGCGCCGCCGATCCCGCCACGCTACCACACTACGATGTCATTTGCCCGAATCCCATTCGGAGAGCACTGAGCTTCCTTGTCAAAAAACACCTCACTCCACGGCTTGATGACTGGGAGCTCCCGTCTGCTGCGTGCAACCGAAAGTTTCCGCTAGTCCGCAGGAACCATTATCGTAACAACCGAGTCACATCTGCGCATTTGCCAATTGGGACCCGAAACCCCGACCCAGCGGGGCAGAACTGCGGAAGGGGGACAGAGGCAAGAGGCAAGAATGATGCTGCTGTCATGTATGTCGGCAATAATACTAAGCCCTTCCCTACCCAATCTTCGAACTCTCTCCTGTCTTCTCCTTTGACAATAATTCACAACATCTGCCAGTCCCGAAAAGAAGTGCCTAGCTGGAGACAAAGCAAGAAGTGGAGGTAGTAGTTCAGGTTATAACCCCTCACATATCCCGCCTCCTCCTTCGCCTCCAGCTCTACCTAAGCTCCAAGCTCCAACAACAACAACAACAACAACAACCAAGCACGCGACACCTACCGCCAAAATGGCAGTCGACGACATCAAACCGACCAAGAGACGCATGACCCTCCCAACGACCCCCGGAAGAGAAGACCCAATCTACATCTCGGTGGAGAAACCATGCTCGGATCCCGCTCACGGCGCGGCCTTCATCCTCATTCATGGATTGGGAGACACAGCCGAGGGATTAGAAGGCAAGGAGAATCACTTTTCCACAGACATCCACAGCACAGATCACTGACCGTGGTGATATAGATATCCCGAAACAGTTCCAAGCCCTCCACAAACTGCCCTACATGCACTGGATCCTCCCCAACGCCATCGAACACCGCGAAGCAATGACGACAGCCTGGTTTACCCCCAACAGTTTCAACTACCCAGCCGATCGACCCGAACTGGCACCCGAGGAAGACGAACAGGGCCTGCTCAACTCGGTCAAATACATCGAATCCCTCATCGACGCGTGTGTGAGGAAAGGTATCCCGCCGCAAAGGATTGTGCTGGGAGGATTCTCGCAGGGTGCTGCGCTGTCCTTGCTTCTTGACTTGACGTCGAAGAAGTATGCTGGTCGGCTTGGTGGGGTGGTGGGATTGATGGGATACCTTCCACTGGCGGGAGGGAGGAAATTGGAGGATTTGAGGGCCAAGGAGGGATTGCCGCCTGTGCATGGGGATGTTCCTGTTCTGTTGGCGAGGGGTTCGAAGGATCAGATGATCCCGAAGAAAGTCTGGGAGAAGACGAAGCAGAGATTGAGTGAGTTGGGGTTGGGAGAGGGGTATTTGGAGGTGAAGGAGTATGAGGGATTGGGGCACCAGCTGGCGGGACCGGTGCTGAAGGACGTTTGCGCTTTCGTGGAGAGATATGTGCCCGCTTTGGAGGATTGAGTAGGGAGAGCTCTAGGGTGCGAATTGTTACTGAGCGATCGAGCGAGTGTGCTTGGTGTCTTGTGATTCTGGAAGATTCTCTCACTTGGGTCAAGTATCCGCTCATATCCAGGGTGTCAGATGCGGAAATGCAGCGGAGACCATGTGTACAGACAGACGTTCCACAGCTCAATCATGCTGGATACTCTGCATTTGCTCTGCGTCTTCTCAGTCGCTTCACAGTAGCGTCACCATACAGATGCTACTCGGATATCGCATCCTCACAGGCCGAAGCTGTAACCGAGAGCCGTGTGGGCGGCATGTCTCCTGACGCGACGGTTCCTCCGCCAGAATATTCAGCAGCGGGCTTGTAGGATCCGGTACTGCGCCTTGCTGCATTCGATAGGGCGATCGTTGGGAATCTAGCCATGGAAAGGGCCACGGGTAGTATTTCATTCATCACCACGACCACCCCCACGCCTTGCGCTCTTCTTCTTGCTCTGAAACTCCTTCATCTTCCTCCTGCCAGCGGCTTCTGCCTTTTGAAGCTGCTCTACGCGTTTCTTCTGCTCCGGACTGGTCTCGCCTGGGACAGTCTCCCTCCCAGCTTGGACTATGAGCTCGTTGAGTTTGCGAAAGCATGCGTTGACGTTCTCATTCTGCTTGCGCGCATCGTCTGATTGGATCACAATGTCGTTTGATCTGGCGGCGCAATATCGACTCTTGAGGATCGGTTCGTGGAGCAGTTTCGGAATACGGTCGAGGAGCGCGGACGTTGATATGCGAAGGGTTGCTTTGGACGATACTCTCGACAGGTGTCAGTGGGGGATGAACTGGATCAATGGTGCTGCTGTGCGCACTTGTTCACATTCTGCCCGCCAGGACCAGAGGATCTGCTGAAGCTGACTTCGCACATGTCCCTCGGAATCGTATCAGGGTCGAGCCTCTTCAGCCACTGGCGGGCGGCGGCACGCTCGGCGTCGTCATCGTCCTGAGAAGGACGCTTGGTGCTGATCGCGAACGATCTCGCGATGCATGATGATGGGCAGACGTGCTGGCGGAGTCTTCCAATGGCGTGGGCGGTCAGGGCAGTTGTCCTGTACATGAGCGCGTGAGGAAGTGGAGGAAGGGATTCGTTTGCTGTTTTTGGAGCTAGCCGCGGGAGGAGCCGCGTCGTCCACGACGCAGCACCTGATCACATGATGTGCACCTGCACCTGCATGCGCACCACGCTGTGACGCGTTCCGTAATAATAACCACCACGACTGCTACATGTACTGTACAGCTACAACACCCCAACGACCACAACACCGCACCGCACAGCACAGCACAGCACAGCACAGCACAGCACACTGCTCCCGCCGCCGTCTGCCGACTCCTACTCCTACTCCACCTGCCACCCTACGTCCATCCCCTCACCGCCCGCCACGCCACGGCTGTACGTCTGGCTGTGAGCACTGCCAGAGAAAATTTCGCGAGGGCGCGGGCGACGAGTGCTACAGTAGTACCTTACCCTACAAGTACTACCGCCATCGCGTCTTGGTCTTGTCCACCTACCCTACTCTTCGCTTTCTTCGGCGGCGGCACCAGCGCGGCGACCGGACCGCTGACTACTCCCTCCCGCCCGCCGGCGAGCCGTGTCGTCGTCTCTTCTTTCCCGCTTGTCGTTTGTCCTCTGCGCCTCCGTCGCATCGCATCGCATCGCATCGCATCCATCCAGCTTCAACCCACACCACCTCATCAACCACCTCACCCGACGCCTTGCCCACTTGCCCACTTGCCCACCTACCTACTTGCTTGCCCGCCTATCATCTCACCCTCCGATCGTCTTCTCCCGCCCTCACTCTATCATGCATGAGCCGTGCGACTCATCCCGGACTTCCCCTCGCACTGCGCTGATGATGCGCCTTTAATCGCTACCCATGAATGACCAGGCTCGAGACTCAGAGCCTCCCGACGAACCATACCTCAGGGCAGAGCTGAGCATCCAATCGCCCGCTTCGCCCAAGCCCTTGCCATTCCCACAGCCGACCAACATTCCCGTCCTGGAGAACATGATGGATGTAGGCTTCAACCAGACTGAGCTTCACATGAGCGATCCCGCCATGCATCAGACGGAGCTGCGGCCGGATGCGTGGCGCGATCCGAACGACCAACCCTCGACCACCGCCGCACCCGACCAACCCTCGCTATATCCGACCGGACGCGATGCGACCGAGCAATCGCTCACGAACGCCGACGCTGTTCAGCAGCCGGAAGGCGACCCCGACACCGCCATCATCCATCATAGCAATGAGGCAGCTCCCAATGGACATGATACCCACCAGCCCATCTCACTTTCCAATGACGCCTCATATGAGGCCAATTCCCATCTTCCCACGGATGTCGCGAATGAGCCCACGACGACAAACGCGCCCCTGCCTTCGTCAGACCCAAGTGTGCCCTCCGCTGAATCTGAACATGAACCTGCGCCCATTGCAGATGCTGCCCCAACCCAATCCAATGCGGTCCATCCAGACCAGTCGCAACAAACGCCAGCTCCCGGCGCGGTCGACGTTCAAGCCCTGTTGGACACCCTGCAAACGTCTCTCGCGCCCTCTGCCAATGCCACGCCCGCTGCCCAGGGCGATGCCACTTCGTCTCAATCCCAAGTCCAGCCGTCCATCCCAGGCACCGAAACGTCTCCTCTGTCTGCGTCAGGTCTTGGTGCGCCTCCCAGTGGCCTCCCACCACGTCCTCCACCCCAAGACCAGCCACTCATAAACCCCAACTATGTCCATTCACAGCACATACGCGACTACCATCCACACGCCGCCCATCCAGCTGTGCAAGGCCCGTCGCATGGGCCCTCAAATAGTCCCGGCAACGCAGATCTTGCGCAAGCACAGCAAGCGGCTGCCAACACCGCGCCAAATGGACAGGCTACTGGCGCAGCTCCCCCGACCCATCAAGCTGGCCAGGGCACTGCTGGCCAGCAACCGCAGTACCCGGCCTCGAACACGCCGATGGAGAGTCGTCGAGAGTACAAGATTGCGGCAGGGCAGACCCCGACAAAGGAGGACCAACCGTGGACAGCGGACATCCAGAAGAAGTATGACCACTTCATGGAGGAGGAGAGGAGATATGTCAATGAGGCGCGGTGGGACCAGTTTCCAGTGGGGTCTCGTCTGTTTGTCGGTACGCGCGACCTACAGGGGAACCGACTGTCGAGGGATCAGCTACTTACGGACTCTCTAGGAAACCTGTCTTCGGAGAAGGTTACGAAGCGCGACATCTTTCACGTCTTTCACACCTATGGCGAGCTTGCGCAGATATCCATCAAGCAGGCGTACGGCTTCGTGCAATTCCTCCACAAGGAAGGTTGCTCGAGAGCGCTGCAGGCTGAGCAGGGCCGACAGATCCGCGATAAGCGCATTCGTAAGTTCATCTTGCTGTCTTGTCCTGGGGGGGGGATGATGACTGATTTTGGACAGACCTCGAGATAAGCAAACCGCAGAAGAGCAACAACAAGAACCAGCAGCAGCAGAACAGCAACAACCGCCGATCGCGCTCGCCTGATTACAATCGCGGAAGACCCGGGAACAATGATCGTTACGGAGGGAGAGGAGCGAACGGGCGTGGAAGAGACGGATACAGAGGAGGATATCGGTCACCTTCACCACCCCCACCACCGCGCGGATACCGCGACAGGTACGAGGAGCGGTACAGGACGAGGTCGAGATCACCCGAATATGGAAGATATCGAGGGAGCCCGCCGCGTGAGACGGAAGATGACTTGCCCTTGCCGCGCCGTCAACCGCGCGACGTGCCCGAAGTGCAGATCATCGCGCTGGACCAGCTGGACCGCGACTTCTTGTCGTGGGTGGAGAAGGCATTCACAAATCGCGGAGTGCGCGTGGACGTGTTGATCTTGTCTCCTCGTCTGAGCGAGGAGGCTGTGATGAGGCGGCAGATCATGGAAGGCGTGGTAGCCGTGTCGAAACTGAGGAGAGCGAACCAACACAGCAGTAAAATCGGCCTGACCATCTTCAAGCGGAAGCATGGGACACGCGATGTGCAGTTTGAGGATTACGACAATCTGGACCCCCACATTTGTGCGGAGCTGGTGCTCCGGGAGAAGAGTACCCAGGGAGGTGGAGCAGCAAGTGCTGGTGGTTATTCTGGTCAGTACGGTCAGGCGCAGTACGGGTACCAACCTCCAGCAGCGGCAGCACCTACGCCTTTCGCGCCACCCACTGGATATCCGCCCGGGTATGGCCAGCAACAGCCTCCAGCAGCGTACGGCGTGCAGCCGCCTCAAGCTCCCCCTCTGGCTACCAATATGGATCCGAATAATCTCCAGAATCTCCTCTCGACGCTCAATCAGCCGTCACCGAACACACCTCAAACGGCAGGCCCATATGGTCATCATCCGGCGCAATCTCCATTCCCTCCCAATGCGCAGCAGTATGGAGCCGCACATCCGCAGCAGCAGCACGATCCGTATGCTGCTCTAAGGAATAATCCGGCGCTGGCAGGTATGATGCAACAGCCGCCTCCGCACAGCCAGGGGCCAGCCCAAGGCCAGCCGCCGGGTCCGAACATGCAGGATATCCTGGCAAGGCTTGGAACATATCGTCAGTAGTGCAGCAATTATTATGGTATCCGTGAGCATCAGTGTGTGTATCAGTGGAGCGAGTGCATCGAGGAAGGCGTTTTGAGTGGCTCTTCAACAGTCATGGGGAGGAGGAGGAGAGCAGACGAGACGAGACAAGACGAGCCGACGACGAGGACGACAACGTCGAATGTAAATAGTAGCTGGGAAAAGCCATGCTCAACGGGCGATTACATATTTCCACTCAACTAGCATATCCCTCTCCCGCCCTTTTCGTTCGTTCGTTCGTTCTCATACTGCTATTCATGCTGCTCATATAGTAAGGGTGTTGTAGTCAGCTCGGCCGGCCGACCTCGGCTTTAGAGTTCTGGTGTTGCTTCACTACTCCAGCTCCGACATGGAAACAATACAGCTCACCTTTAGATACCAATCAATCCGCGGAGAACTGAACCCACTGCCACTGCAAGAAAGAGGAACCGGAAATTTCAAATCTTCATCACATCAAGCAAAGACCAGTTCTAACCGCTGCGGGATTGAAGAAGAAGAAGAAGAAGAAGAGAAAAACTTGAATGAACCGTCTCCTCCTCCTCTCCATCTCCCGTCCTCGCTCTCCGGGCCATCATCATCATCATCATCATCATCATCATCATCATCATCATCATCATCATCATCATCATCATCATCATCATCATCATCATCATCATCATCATCATCATCATCATCATCATCATCGAAGAAACACCAGCACCACCAACACCCCCACCAGCAACCCAAAACCAAACCCAATCCCAAAAACAAACATGGTCGACCCCCTCCCCCGCCTCCCCCCAACAACCCGCCTCTCCCCCCGCGTGATCCGCATCCTCGGCGGCAACCCCTCCAAATTCGCCCTGCAGGGCACAAACACCTATCTCATCGGCAGCGGGCGCGAGCGACTGCTGCTCGACACGGGGGAGGGGAAACGAATCTGGAAAGAGGAATTGAAGAAGGTGCTGGAGGGGGAGGGGTGTACTTTATTACCATCCAAGGGAAAGGGAAAGGGAAAGGGAAAGGAAGGGGGAGGGGGAGGGGTGTTGTTGACGCATTGGCATGCGGATCATGTAGGCGGGGTGCAAGACGTGAAGGAGATTCTTCTAGAGGGTAAGAATGAAAGTGAAAGTGGCGAAGAAGAAGAAGAAGTAAAAATCTACAAAAACAACCCCTCCCCCGGCCAACTCGAGATTCAAAACGGCCAGACTTTCTCCGTCCAAGGCGCGACGCTCCGCGCCCTCCACACCCCAGGCCACACGACGGACCACATGGCCTTCTTCCTCGAAGAGGAAGCAGCCATGTTCACGGGCGACAACGTGCTCGGGCACGGGACGGCGGTGTTTGAAGACCTAGCCACATACTTGCGGAGTTTGGAGACGATGGCGGCGACGGAGGGGTTCGAGGGGCGGGCGTACCCGGGGCATGGCGAGGTGGTGGAGAATGGGAGGGGCAGGGTGCGGGAGTATCTTGCGCATCGGAAGCAGAGGGAGGAGGAGATTTTGGGGGTTTTGGGGGGGCGTGAGGCTGAGGCTGAGGGGGAGCAGGGGGGAGGGAAGTGCAGGTGGTCGAGTATGGAGATTGTCAAGGTGGTGTATCAGGCGTATCCGGAGAATTTACATGCGCCGGCCGAGGGTGGGGTGAGGCAGGTTTTGAAAAAGTTGGAGGGGGATGGGAAGGTGAGGGAGGATGGGGAGAGTGGCAAGTGGAGTCTGGTGGGAGGCAAGGCTGCGTTGTTGTGATGCAGTCCGTGATCCTCGTACATTTCTGTTCTGTTTTCTTTCTTTCTTTCTTTCTTTCTTTCCTTCACACTCTGCACGACTTCCTCTATCATGCTGCTTTCCATCTCCTTCCGCCGCCCTTCTGCCAGAGATGCACCGCTTCGGTGGCGTAGGCTTGCGCGCTGAGATGTCTCCCCCCATCAATGCCCTTTCCTTGGCTTTCATTCACGAGCGCCGGGATGACGTGCAGCGCCTCGATCTGGCCCCAGAGGCTCCTCGCCAGCTCACCAAACGTATCCTGCGCTTGCTCGGTCTCGGCGCCAGGTTCCCCGGAATCGCCAAACTCCCCTCTCCCCAGCCGGTACAGAATCCTCCCCAGCGTCTGGAACGCGATACATCTCTGAGCCGGATACGTGGACCGCGCGAGATGGGCGAGCTCGGGGACGGTATACCCGGCTGCATCCGGTGCGTCTCCATGATGGTGGAGGCCTTTGGTGACGGGGATTTCGGATGCCGTTCGCGGGGGTATGAGTTGGCCTTTGAAGTCGAAGCGTAGGTCTTTGGCGCTGAGGTTGGTCGCGGATGGATCGTAGGATCTGTTGTCGGAAGTGGAAGGTTGCATCCATTCGAGCTTGTCCGGGTCGGAGGGGAGCGAGGGGAAGTACTTCTCATGCAAGTCGTCGAGAAATGTTTCCGAGGATGGGTCCAGGGATGGGGGCTGAGGAGGGCGAGGGAAGTGGACGCGTTGGTGTGGCGGGGATTCTGGCACTGCCTCCTCAGCTGCTGGAGTGTGCTTCGTGCTCGTCTGATTTGTCTTTTCGACATCTTCTTCTACATTCGGCTCCTCGAATTTCACAGCCTTGGGAGGTTTGAGCTCCTTCCTGGGCTTTGCTGCCTCAGGCTGCAATTCTTCCGGCGCACGTGACAGATCGACCTCCTCACTGCCGCTTTCAACGGTCGGTCTCTGCAGCAGTCGCGACAGGACGGCCGGGCTCAGATTCTTCATGAGCTCCCGCCTCTCCTCCTCAATCTCAGTGGGAGACATCTGGGCAATGCGCTGGCGATTCTCTTCATCTATCCGCTCCTTCTCTTCTTCCTCGCGCGATTTGGGCTTGCCACTAAGGCGATTGCCGGAGCTATCACCGGGATCATTGTGTGGAGACGGTGCTAATGCTACTGGAGGTTGGCTGCTGTGTGAAGCGGCTTGCTTTTGCTTGCATCTGCTCTCAAAGCTTCTTTTCTTGTGTTCTGGGAAGCCTGTCTTGCTCTTCAGACCAGGTGCGGATGGCGGCGTCGGAGCGGCGGCTTTCCGCTCCAGGACGTCTCCGACAAACGAAGCTGGAAGGGGAATCGACTGCTGAGCCGAATCCTGCTCTTTGTCAGAGTCCAGGTCGAGTTGAAAGCGCTCGCCACGAATCATGTTGCAGAGGATGTTGGTGTTTTGGAGACTAAAAATGGAAGACGCTGTTCCGGGAGGTGAAGAAGTAAGATGCGCGCTAGAATTTAAGCAGTGCTTCTAGCGCGTTGTGGAGCAGACGCTAGTACCGATTCGGGTATTGGGAAGAACAACCTCCGGAAGGATGTTGCTGGACGTTGCCCGTGTCATGATCGACAAGTCGTACTGCTGGTGGAGAGAAGGGAGTCGACGTTGTCGCATCGGCTGCTCACCGCGCCCTCTCTACTCCAAGCTGTGGAGGTCTTCTTGTCACAATGCGAGGAATAGCGTCCAGTCTTGGCATCTGAGACGATGGGTCGGAGAGAGAGAAGGGAGTGCGACGATGGCTCGAATGGAGAGATGGGGATGAGAAGGGAGAAGGATCACAATGTTTGGGGAGAAATGGAGAGATGTGTGGATAGGGGGAGTGGTAGTGGGCTCGGGGGGCATACTAAGGTACGTACCTTATAGGGCGGGAGTCGGCTCCGTCCGCCGGGCACAGTTCTCAGCATCCAGCATCACAGGCCAGGCCAGGCACAGCGCACAGGCAGGTGCAAGGCAGTTTCTGGCAGCGAGAGCTTCGCCCGCCCAGCCCAAGCGTAAGTTCCTGTGGCCGGCGGGAGGGAGCGTGTGCGGGTGCGGATGCGGATGCGTATAGGTAGGTCGGCTGTCCGGCGGCAGTCGTCTCGCTCCAGTCGTCGCCCTCGTCTCCCTCGTCTCCCTCGTCTCGCTCGTCTCGTCTTGTCCTGTCCGTGTGTGGTGCGTGCCCAACCCGCTCTGCTCGTCGCTCTACTCTCTCTCTACTCCCTCGTCTCTCTCTTCCCCCCTCGACTCTCCGCTTCTCCTCATACCACTCGCTTTTGCGCATGCCGTCGCCCTCCACTTCCATCATCTCGCACCCCTCCGTCATCGTCGCCCGCCCGCAAATACCGTCACGGCAAGGCCACGAGTGCACGCCAGCTCGGCGGCATCTCAACACCCATCTGCCGCCCGCGTGTCGCCCATAACCTGCAAAAAACGTCTTGTCGTCGCCGCTTCGCCTGGATTGCGACGACACACTCCAAGTCGACCCTGCGCTGCGCTGCCGCTGCCGCTGCCTGGAAGCTCACTGGCCCAGAAGTCATCGGATGTCGGCTTAGTCAATATCCCTCGACTCGTCCAACTGGACTGGCACTCGCTCGCACGGGCACACGTCGTCGCCAACGCAGCATCTCGCCTGCTGCTCGGCTCCGCATATCCCCAACTGCTGTCGTCGCTGTCGCTCTCTATACCATACCACACCTGTCGTGACGAATATTCCCGTTCTTCGCCGCTACTATGAGCATGCCGCCCCTGGTCCGTGAGGATGGCGCTTCCGAGACTTCTTCCATCTCCAGCCCGCCGCTGTCTCCCCCGCAGGATGTAATCGCCGTCGCACCCCGAGCCCCTGACCAACGCCCACCCCAATATCCCGCGGAAGGTGTTGTTACCGCTTCGGGAACGCCCGCCCATACCATTGCAGCCCAGAACACTGCTGCACACAACGCCAACGCTTCTTTGCCCAATGCAAATGCAGATCCACCTGCACCCGCCAAACCCAAGCGACAGAGGAAGGCGAAAGAGAATAAAGATGATAGACCCGCCGTCGACGAGAAACCGAAAAGGGGCCGCAAACCTCGCGAGCCCAAGATCAAGCACGAGCCTCCATCCACCACTGCTGCAGCGTCTCGCAAGCGTCAGAAGACGGAGGATAAGTCGGCTGTTGCCCGTCAGTCGACACTGACCGAGATGGTCAATCACTTTCCACCTCCTGCCGTCCCCGCCAGTGCACCTCGACATCAGCAATCCTATCCGTCGTCGCCGCAACCTCCACCACCTCGGCCTCAACATACAACATCGACCGATGCTGGACTTCGCAGCAGCTTACCGCCGTATGCTTCCAATCCCCCAACACCGAGGCCGATATCGAGTGGTCAAAACTACGATCCGATTCGAGGCGCGACAAGAGACTCTGCTCCACCCGCACGCACTTCAATGCCTTCGACAACAAACGGCACCCATTCTTCACAGCCGTCACCGCACATCAATCCGGCCTCCGCTTCGCCGTCAATCATCAGTTTGATTGATCCGCAACCATCGACAAAGACCTCGGCCGCGACCATGCCCTCTCATTCGCCAACCATGCAGCCTCAACATCAACAACAACCGCCGCCCTTTGTCGCATCACAGCATTCTCCAACACCGTCCAGACCCCCACCTACTTTAACCCCCGCCATGTCTGCTCCTCCACACTCGAACCAATCCATCCCCATCCCCAAACAAGCCATGGACGGAGCAAGGGACATCGATGGTCCGGCATGTAAGTCAGCTCAGCCTGAAGTCAGAGTCCCCCACTCCAAGTCTTCATCATCCGCGCCTACGCCAAAGCCGATTCCGGCCAGAGCCAGTTCGCCTCCCAAGGCAACGGGTAGTGGCTTGCTGTCCAGCAGTGACCTGTTCGGCGGACCCTCATCGAACCAAGGCGCAGAGCGGAGAGGTGTCGATATCGAAATCCAGATCAAACTCGATCCTGCGGGTGGCAACACCATCAACATGGCCCAAGAAATTGCAAAGAGATACGGCCGCGACGCGATCAATCCTCGCGCTGCAGCACATCGTGAGCGTCTCTTTCAGGTCGCTGCCGCGGCGAATAAGCTCGAAGGCGGCTCGGCCGATGACATGTCCGTCGACTTGATGTCCGAAGCCGACGGAGACAGCAATGTGGAAATGGGCGGCATGGACGAAGAGAAGAGCACCACGGACGATCCGAAGCCTCGCAAGCGGAGAAAGAAGGTTGAGGAATACGACAAGGAGGACGATTTCATCGACGATACGGAATTGGCATGGCAAGAACAAGCTGCTGTTGCCAAGGATGGATTCTTCGTCTACTCTGGTCCTCTTGTCCGTGAAGGCGAAAAGGCTCAGGTGGACTCTGCCACTGGCACCACGGGACGCGGACGCGGGGGAAGAGGCAGAGGGAGAGGACGCGCTGCTGCTAATGCTGCTGCGTCGGGCGGCGCGACGCATGCGTCTGTGGCGGAGAAGAACGCGACTACGACCGGTAGGGGGCGCGGACGGGGTAGAGGGACTGGAGCTCCTCGGAAGCCGAGGATTACAAAGGCTGATCGGGAGAGAATGGAAGCGGAAAAGGCTGAGCGGGAGAGGATGGGTAATCCCGGTGCGAGTGCCATGTTGGCTCCTCCAACTCTGCAGGTACAGCAGCAGACCACCAGTACCCCCACTGGCCCTGCTACTGCGGCTTATTATGGGGCTCAGCAGACGGCCGTCGCGCAGTAGGATGCCATCAAGAAGCAGACGTCGGTGGATCGGCTGGTGGACAGAACTTCGGAATCTTCGTCGTCGCGGAAGGGATAGCGCCTCGACGACATGGCCCCCAGGGCAGGAGATTTCGGGGCGAAATCAGTGGGAGATCGCCCTACTGTTCTCCTTGTTCTCTCCTTCTCCTCGATCATGTTTACTTTTTCTTCACCTGCAGTGTATTAGTGTCAATTAGCCGGGAATGGCATGGGACGGGGCATGGATGATACCTTGGCTCAAGCGATCGAGTGAGCGAGCAAGCGGAAGTAAAGTTTGGATTCGCAATGGGGGAAACGGGATTGACTAAAGGCGGACTCACTCTATCACATCGAGATACTTACTGCCTGTTTTTTTTTTTCGCTGTTCAAAAAGAACCCCGGAAAAGCAATATGACTTGGACAGAGCCGTCAGTCAATGCACATGCACATGCACATGCACTTGAAGGGACACTTGATCATCCTTCTCCCCCCTTCCCCCCCCCTCCGGTTTTCCATTCCATTCCATGCGTGATTGATAGGCTGTGATATGATATGATGTGATGTGACGATGTCTGTCTGTACCGAGTTTATTTTTCTTATCCTCACTGTGCAAACGCAAAGCGTCTGTATCTCTCCACCCTCCGAAGAGCATTTCCTACACACGCGCTGCAGGTTTCCGCTCCCATTGACCAGGTCCGCATTACGAGCTCCGTTTGTCTGCCTCCTCATTTTCTCCCTTCCTATCTATCTATCTATCTATCCTCCTCCCTCCTGTCGAGGGAAGGGGGTTCAGACTTGATTGACGGCTCGTGCGCGAGGAGATGATGCACTGCCCACGTCCTAACCCTTCCCATCTCCCATCTCTCCTCGTGCGTCTCATCGAGCTCTTCCTGTACTCTCTCCCACCACGCGATTGGTCGTCGAGGAAGGCTTCTCCGCAGTGAGCTTCTCCCGCAGATCCTCCTCTTTCTTTTCGGTTGCAGAAGTTTCGGTGGAAGCGGGAGTGGAGGAGGGAGATAATTGATCGGCGCCACCAAACTGCGAGAGATCTTCCTCGTAACCGTCGTAGTTTTCGACGGATGCGGGGAAATTCTCGTCGGTGAGGGAGGGGTCGAGGGTTTCGGGGGCGGAGGTTGGGATGTCGTTGTCGTTGTCGTTGTCGTTGTCGTTGTCAACGTCCGTCTCATCATCTTCGTCGGGTTCTTGCTCTGCGTCGAGGGTTTGGTCTGGGTCGATTGGGTTGGTGGAGAGGCGAGGTTGGGATCCGGTGGTTTCGGCGAGGTCTGCTTGGGAGGTGGCTTTGTGGTATTGATCTTGTTTCAAGGCGTTGCTGGATGTACTGGACTGACTCCTGGAAGGCGCAGCTGATGCGGAGCTTGGTGGGTCTTCTGGCACGGCTGATGCTACTACTGCCGGGTTGACTGCCGCTGGCTTGTTGGACGAGGATTTCTCCGGCGTGCGGTAGGTATTCTCTAGTTGCTTGTCCAGCGTCCTGACATCCTTTTCACTGAGCTGCTCCGTGGAGAGATCGGACACGTCCTCGAGCGGAGCTGCCTGCTGCTGTCGAGACCGTTGCTGCTCTTGTCTTCTCGGCTGTCTCGATGACCTCTGCTTGGCTGGCGGCTGCAAGCCATGAGTTGCTTGGAATGTGATCTTGCCCTGTTGCGCCAGAGCCAGCCTCCGCTTCTGTCCTTCTTCTCCTGCTCGACCCAATGCCCCGGCAATGACTTGTACGCAGCGCAAGCTGTCGTCGTTAGCCGGGATGGGATAGGTCACCCAAGTGGGATTGGCATCCGTGTCTATTATGCCGATAGTGGGGATGTTGTTCAAGCCGCATTCATGCAGCAAGACATAGTTCTCCAGCGGGTTCAGACAGACCACAAGATCAGGCTTTAACGCTGCTTTGACGCCTAGCTGATCCTCGAAGCCGGGAACCTCGTTATCGAACTCGTCCACCACTTTGGTCGCTGCTCCGCCCAGGATTTGTTGGCCGTTGGTGATGCTGCCGGGAATCCATTTGGTGAAGAGATGACAGCCTTTGGCCAGACCCGCAGCTCTCACCACGGCTCTTGCCTGTCCCTCGCGTGTCCCCACGAACAGGACCAGCCCAGCCCTCTCCGCCACGCCGCTTACGACCTTACACGCCCTCCGCAGATGCGACGCTGTGGCATCCAGACTGATGATGTGAATCGGCCCCTCTCCATGCTCCCTCTTGCCCCTGATACCGTAGATGTATCGCGCGTTGGCCGGGTGCCACAGACTCGTCGCGTGACCAATGTGCGCCTGTGATGCCAGCAAGAGCTCCAGGGTAATGTCTTTGGGCGAAGGCGGGTCGATCACGAGCTGGTGAGGCTTGTAATGTGCGTTGAGAACACTGCCGAGGTGTGCGGTGCGCTCCTTCTGGTGCATGCGAAAGGCGTACTGCTGCGCGACCGGGTGGTCGGGGTCGTTGAGGCGCACGTGTCGGAGACTGGGGATCGCATCGAGTTGTTGCTGCGCGGAGGAGGTGGACGTGTCGAGGAAGACGGGATTGTCGATGCGCTCGTCTCCCGACCCTCTTTCAGAGAGGGAGGATTGGTGTCTTCGCTGGTGGTAGAGCGAAGGGGCATTTCGTGGGAGGGCGAGGCGGCCTGTATTTCGTGGTCAATATCAATGTGGCACCCGTATTAGATTATGAGAATGTGTCATCTTACCCTGCCGCAGCCGTAATGCTCGAATTATCATGGTTCAATGTACAGATCTTAAACACTGCAAGTCCTTGACGGTGCATCTCTCTTCCCCCCCGAGGAATGCCAAGCCGCTTCCCCGAGCAGCTCCGCATGCGTGCTTTACCCTTCACCACTACACCTCAGACACCGACCCAGCTCATACCTATAACATCCGATGCGCCTCGTAGCGAGAGGATATCTCTTCATTGCTCATGTCATGTCGAGCCGCCCGAATATGCCGACAGGCCGCTTCCTTCCCCTCACAATGCCTCTGGATCACCGACGACATGCTGGCCGCAGCTTGGAGCCGTTTTGCTCGCGTGTCCCGAGCTCACACACGTCCCACCGACGGACGACGACACGGTAGCAACGTCCCGGGGCCATTGGAAGCGCAAAAGAGGCTGGCGAGAAGGCGGATGGGAGTACAAACGGCTGTCGCGTCCGGAGGAGCGCCCCCGGCGTTCGACATCGGAAACTTGTTTGGGCTTCGAGGCTTCGACGGTCGGAAAACTGGCGAGTTCAACTATGAGCCGCCTGGAGCGAGAGATGATCCGAGAACGGACCAACAGGCCGGAGGATGGTTTGGTCGCAGACCGAAAAGGAAAGACAACATGTGGGAGACCTTCCTGGATGTCCCGGGTCTGGACGTGCCTGAGCAGCCCAAAGTGGACCCGGTTCAGGCAAGCAAGTCGGCATTCGAGGACCTGCTCGCAAGCAGAGATAATAATGCGGCAGTCGACGAGCAGTTCGTCGCGAGCCTTGCTGACTTCTTGCAATCGTCTGCGAATGAGCCCGAAGCCCACAACACGCTTCGAATGGCGCAATGGCAACTCGGGGGAAAGCAGAACCGGATGACACGCGCCACACGTCGGATGCTAGCAAAGATTGTCGTAGACAAGGTGCAACTGGACACCATAGATTCCGACGAGACTTCCGACATCATAGCCACCTGGATGCTACATTCCCGAGCCCTCGCATATTCAGACACCATTGTGGATATTCTCGACGCCGCAACGCCCGGGCATTCTCTGCTCCGTATCGTTGCCAAGACTACCGTCCAGCTGCTGCAGCATGATTTCAAACACGACGGAGCGCTTGAAGCGCTTCCGGCTGTCACGGAACACTGGCTGGAGTGCCTACGCCAATGCACGCACTTGCAGAACCCACATCATTCCACTCCCGAGTGGAAGGCTGTGTATGAGTTGCTTTCGCCTCGCATACCGGACATGCGGATGCTAGCTTTGCACCTGTCGACCCTGGAACCGGACGATCTTGCGCGGATCATTCTGCGACATTGGGCATCTGTGATGACCGTTTCAGACGTAGCGAAAGACGGTCTGGAACTGACACTGGACCGTGCTGGCAAATACCTCTTTCCGCGTCGATCTCAGACCCTTGAAAATGACATCCTGCTGCGCGATTTCGAGCATTTGTGTGGAGAGCGGTTCGCCGATCCGACGCCGCAGATTCCACACATGGATGGCGACCCGATAGCCCTGGTTGATATGCTCGATGTGGTGCGACGGCATGGAGCGAGTATTACAAATCTTGCGCACGGCACCATGTCCATTCTCACGCATCCCAATGCTGGCCCAAAGACTCCGGAGAGAATTCACTGGGTAATCCGTGGTTCGGCCCGCCGAAATCAACTCGGCTCCGATTCGGACCTGGCTACGGATGCCATTCACCATCTGTTGAACGCTGGCTTCGTCGAATATGCCTATGAAGTCTTCCAAGATCTACCAGGCATACCACTTAGTCGATGTCGTCAGCTGCCGTTGGCAATGTCTACTTCGACCAATTTCGCACGCCACAAGCTATGGCGTTGCTTGCAACGTCAGACCCCAGATGACATCGTTTCGCGTACGCACCGCCCTGAGGAGAAAATGGCTCTCACAAAAGACCATATCGACCTCATCCATCTCGTGGCGCAGAACATCTCACGCTCAGACCTCCCATGCCGTGTGGCGTTTCGTCGAGTCGAGGAATGCTACCTCTTCTTACGTGATCGAAGCGCACCGATCAACCGGATGATCACTCGAGCGATGGTGCATGCAGCTGTAATCCGGCCTTTGCAGGAGGGACGAGGCGTCAGCAAGGCGAGGTTTCGTTTCATAATTTCTCTCGTGAAACACGTCGAGGGATTAGAGACCGCCGAAGCTCTAGACCGTGTGGTGTACAAGTTGACCCGTACGCTTTCGTCTGAGACAGTGCAGTCTGCCCAGGACACGGTAGCTAGCGCTGTGGATCGAACTTCCTGCAGTCCATTCACGGAAGATTACGCCGCAGTCCGGCAACGCCTGGGTGCTGTTGCTCGTGTCGCCAAGATGGGGAGGGCCTGGCTTTTCCAGCACTCGCCACGCAGGAGATGCCTCCGCCGACGGGTGGGGGGGAGATCTGTCGAGCTGGCGCGGCGCAAGTCCTATTCTCTGACCGCTCCCAAGGCTATCGTTAGGTATATTCACCACACGCCCGTCCGTTACCTCCCGTCCACACACACTCCGGGCAGACGTCTTCGACGGGCGCAGCAAGCGGGCGGGAGACGGCGAGGGGGGAAATCTGTCGATCTGGCGCGGCGCAAGTTCCATTATCTGACCGCTTCCAAGGCTATTCACCACACGCCCGTCACACACACTCCGGGCAGACGCCTCCGACGGGCGCAGCAAGGAGTCTCCAAGCGCACGGCGCGGACGGGAGCGGGCGGGAGGCGGCGAGGGGGAGAATCTGCCCATTCTCTGACCGCTCCCAAGGCTATGTTATTCACCACAAGCTCGTCCGGTACTACCCGTCTATCTTGACGATCTGATCGGCCAAGGAACTTGCAATTGAGCCGCACTCGTAGATACTAGGGCTCGGGACAGGAGGTTGACGGAGTGGACGCTTGATGCGGAATTGCCTGTTGCTGTCGCTCCCGAGGCCGTGAAGACGTTCACACCTTTACATTCTGGTGAGAACGATTCCGCGAGCGGACGACCCGCGAAATTGCCTGTTGCCGCCGCTCATGATGCCATTTTACTTGGAGACCCCTGCCGGTACAGGGACCCAAAATCCACGACAAGGCAGACGATCGACCTGGGAACTCCACCCTGGACCCGGGTTGCCATCGGGTGGAATTGGAAGGTAAAGGGCCCTGACGAAAGAAGACGCGCAATCTCCGCGCGAGGGACGGAAGTGCTCGCTCCAATATACAGAACTAGTTTCCTGCTCCAGGGCACGAGTTGGAGGAATTGCGACCGAGAATCTTGCGTGAGAAGCAAAGCACGAACTTGGCGGGCGAGAAGGAGAAAGATGCTGACGAGGGATCTCTATAGGATTATAGACCGTCAGTGATAGAATCAGGGGTGAGAGGAGGTGAGAGTTATGATCTAGATACCCCCTTGAGCAATATGTCTTTTCCGAGAATACGTGCTCAAGCATTGCCCTTGCCCAATTCCGATGATTGTATCACGAAGTTTCTTTTCGTGCAAAAGCTCCACGGAAGAGACTATGTTTCCAAGCGTTATCTGAATTTTCCTCGTCCCTATCCTGCCAAGCATGAGCTTCTGCGATCTGATCAGTCCAGAGAGCTCTCCCCCCAAGAATTCATACTACGATTCAAAGTCATTCTCCTGCGCTCTCCCTTCCTTCGTATCTCCAATTCAAAAAACAGGACTTTCCCTTCCCCTTCTTTCGGAACAGACTGTACTGTACTGTTGAATTCTCTCACTCTCTCTCTAATACAAGCGGCGTACACGCCCCGGTAGGAATTTCCCGCTTCTTCCTCCATCCGCTTACGGGGTTTTGGTCCTGACTGATTTCTTTGCTGTTATGATTGTTTCAGATTAGGTTTGCAAGCGGGATAGGCTGTGTGTGTGTGCTCTTTGGGTGGGGTGGGAGATTTGCAGGTGGATAGGAGCTTTTTCTCTCCCCCTTCACCGGGTGGGAGGGATGGGAGGAGTTTTGGTGTAGGGGAGCTGGAGGTTTGGATTCGAACGAGGAATTGTAGGGCCGTGAATGTGGGAGGTGGCGTTGCAGACGGGGAAAATTCTGGTTTCAGGTGATTGAATCGTGTTGTTGTTGGGAAGATTGTCATGCCCGGCTTCTTGGGTGCTGGGTTCTCGCTAGATCGATGGAGTTTTCTTGGAATGGATAGGAAGTGGGTTTGTCTTCTGCCGGTGAAGGGACGGAGGTCTGTTCTTCCTGAGAGGGCGAAGTCTGCATCCTCGTTGGGTGTTCCGGTGAGGTTTACTTGGGAGGCTACAGGGCATTCGTTTTCTTTCCAGGTTACGCGGAAGGATATTGCTTTTCTTCCCATGGGGTGGATTTCCCGTTCTGAACCGCCTTATTATTGCTAGACTACTGAGAGTCCCCTCCAATTTCCTTGGCCGTCTTAAAGGGGATCTGCATGGCCTTCTGTTCGGAAATACTCTGTCGTATTGCTGTTCCTCAAGAGTGCAATCGAAGGGTCAGATGGGTATGAACCGGAAATCTTTTCCGATCTGGCTATTATTTCTCCGCGGCCGAGTTCTGTGTCGTCCTCCTTTGGCTACCTCCGACAGTACCAACGAGAATCTTTGTGAGTATGAGGACCTTCGGGACTCCTATCTCCTGTCCCGTTCCAGATGCTGATTGGGGGAGGTCAAATTGCCGGTTCCGAGACTCACTGCCGGTCGGAGTGTTCCAGTAGAAGTAAGGTATACCTTTTCCCTTTCATCGTCGAAGAGCAGGTCCGGATCAATAGCCGACGCCTGCCAGGTATTCGCATCGCTCCAACTCTCACTGCTGTAAACCTATGTCGCTTCCATAACGGTACCAGTCAAGGCAGAGCTTATGTACACATTCGTTACGCAGGATTTTCCATCTTGATAGCGAAGATTCGGTGCATATAATCCTGCTTGCTGGGAAATGGTTCCGTTTCGTGCGGCATTTAATGATCCAAAGTGATCAGGTCTTGACCAAGCATGAAGGGCTAGTTTCTTATTTATGAGATCTTTCGATGCGTAAATTGCGTAGGCCTGGAAAGACAAGGAAGATCGGTGTGGCCCAGGAAAGTGTAGAATTGACATGGACGCAGGACGGGTCAATGTGGCAGTCTGGAAGGGTTGGGTTAGATTAGGTTGAATTCGCTATCGTGGTGTCAGAATCTGTCACAAGAGCAGTCGAGGACGTAATAGTTGCCGCGAGAGCAGCGGTCCGGAGTTGGAGTTTCACGGTCCCTGGGTTAGGCCTGAAGAGTGTTTCGTCCAGATCTCAACATGAGATGTCAATTTAAACCTTGCGATTACCTTCCTAGCCGCATCGCTTTCCGAGATCTTCTCTCCTCTCACATATGTTTGCCAAGAGATTTTCTATCCGCTCTATTGTGCCGAAAATGACATGACCGCGAAGAGGGAAAGTGGGCCTCGTTGGGTACAATCGCGTCTGAGCGTTGGTGTAAACATATACTTGGCATTGCCTCTGTGCTCGTATTCGCAGAGAGTTCGCTGCCGGAAATGTGCTTTCGTCTTCGAGATGAGGAAAGATGGTTTCGGCTCGGGCACGAAGGGCTTGACACGAATCTGGCGTTGTCGACTGCCGCATTGCAGGTGAGATATTTGTCTTTCTTGTATTTTCAGTGTCATGAGGAGTCAGTCCATTTCCATACCTCACAAAAGCCGGTCAGTCACGAGATTCGGATCTTGACACCATTGCGTGATGACACGTGGACACCGAGTAGAAGATGGATCAGGATTTGCGTGCATGTAACTAAAAATCATTCCTGTCGAATTGGGTATCGCTAAAATCCAAGATCTGTCGCCGGCTCACCGTCCGGAAAGAGATCCACGAAGTCCGTCTTCCCGTACAAGAGCTTCTCATAATTCAAACGTGTGCTCCAGCGTACGTTTCTTGTAAAAGCTCGCTCATTGTATTCCTCTCCATGGTTTGCGATTTCGCTGAATGTCGACTTGGCTCCAACCGGTCGGTGGTGTTGGAAGAGCTGTGGCTGGACCGTCAAGCAGGCATGCAGGGGCCTTCCAGCTAACCCATCGCAGAGGTCTCGAAACATGATGTCCGTGGCGGACTGTATGCGCTTGATCCCGAGCTGGTATAAAAATCGACGTGCGCCTTGCTGGGACATGCCGTACGCGAGAGTACACACATTCATTCGCGCTCTCGACACGACTCGGGTGTGGTTTGGGTATTGATTTATCAGATCATCGTTGCCGAATTGGATATTGACATGTTGCGACTCCGGAACCGTCTCGTCGTCGGGAATCGCGACCCGGCCCGCGGGGACTCCGATGTCCTTTTCTTCCTCGCTGGGGAAGTGAGTCCCACAATGGCCGATCCACAGCAAGTCCCAGGCATTCACATCTCCATATGGCGAGGAGGACGACATGCGCGGCATGTGCTCGCTGACATACATCCTGTCGTTCGCACGATCAGGCTGGAGCAGCAGTTGCGATGCCTTTGCGAAGTCTTGCATTTGGGACTTGATACGGATATCCCAGTCCACGTCTGCTTCTAGCACGAGTGCTGAAGTCAGGTTCTGCTCCACGGTCCTGTCACATGTCAACCACTGCGCAATTTCATGCGATCACAAACAGGCTTCTCACGTTCGAGCAACGTTCATGTGAGCACGCCATGCCCCGGTGTTGCCTTTGCCTAGGTTCGCCTCTGTCGCCCCTGGAGGTAGTATTCTCTCGTCCCAATCGGTGACCCCGTCGACGAAGTCGATTTTCAGCCCAGTGAGGGCTGCTGCTAGAGATATGGTATCCCGGCGATCTGTTCGCGAAGGTAGGTTGATGACGAAGATTTTCTGAAACTTTGAAGGAGTCAGTGGCGATGCTGGAACATCCTGCTTGAGCAACTCACGCCCAAAGTCTCGTTAAAGACATCTTGTAGCACTTGCAATCCCGCACTAGAGTAGGAGTTGCTGGTGGTCGAAGCAGGCAGAATTCGTGCCCATTTGCTGTGCGCATTAGTCGTCCAGCCTCTGTGAATTGCGAATGCCAAAATGAGTAAAGTCAAACTGCCAGCGACTGCCAGTGCGACGCGTAGAGTGGGATACCGTGCCGCCATAGTGAGGCTTGGGAAATGAGCCTTCCAAGGCGAAAGCACCAGGTATACTCCATATGCCAACAGCTCTCGGCGCGTGCAGGCTGGCGTCTACGCGATGGCCACAGGCATCTTGACACTATATTTGAGGTCTGTCTTCTGTCTAGCGCCGCAGGGGCGCAGACAGACGCTGCTACAGACATTGTTATAAGGGAGATGCGGACCCAGAGCCGCATTCACGCCCACGCGCGCACGTGTTAGCTCGTCGGTGAAGTCGTCGGCACGCTCTCACTGGCTGCCGAGCCGCCCGGGCGGACCGGGACGATGCCGCGTCCCCGGAAGAGGCTAAATCCGACACTAAATCAATTCAATTGTCTTATCGCCTCCAGAATCGGAATCAGTACAATCCACACTCACTGCATCACAGAGGCACAGCAGTCGAGTGTGATCATGAGGCGTGTACTCCGTATAAGGCGGCAAGATCGCCTTCTTCCTGGCCTGAAATATATTCGCTGTAGTTGGTATTGTTCTCGTCGGCCACGCTCCTCGGCCTTAGTGCCTCCTCAGACTTACGGATAGCGATGCTGGACATCTCTCTCTCGATTGTTGAGTTTTCAGCGTCTTGTACACTGCGGCCGCCGCCACTGCTCCCACGCAGAACGTTTTCGTCTACCCAGGGATCCCGGCCGAGCCTTCAACTACACTGCAAGTGAGTTTGAAGCAGCTGGGACACAAGCTGCAGAGGCGAACAAAGAACATGACCTTTTGATGCAGTACGCAGATGGTACGTGGTGTCGGGTGGCTATGGCTGGCATCAAGCGTTTAATAGAGAGTCTAGCTGGACTCAGACAGTGGTACCTCAGTTTGCAAGGTCTTCCATTTAGCTGTTCATCGACCGTGTCGACTGCATCATGTCTCTTGTAGGCGCTCAGGCCCTGCTGAGCAGTGATCGACAGGTCATCGAGCTTCAAGAACTACCTGATGCTCATTGGAAGCAACTTCGAAGTCGACTGGAGTGTAGGTGACCAGATGGTTCAGCCATCCCGCCAGCCTCCACGCGGCTTTGGCCAGTTGGAGCTCGGCGGTTGGGAAAGCATCTCTCGCGTATCCGGTATTCATTAGGTCTGTGGTGTTGGAGAATGGCATGTGATAGACTGCATTGCAGACCAGAGCGTGCGAGTCTTCGGCCCAGCGCTTTGGACAGTGGTCACCTTTGCTTATCTCGAAATCACAACGTGCCCAATGGTTGCGAGCAACGGGGAGAGAGTCGTGGTTGATGCGTTGCAGCAGAGCGGCAAAGTATGGATCCAATTCCTTGTCGGAGAAGTCTCCTGTCCGATTTGTGCCAGAGTAGAGTATCAGACGATCCCAGACCTATCCTCGAACTGTTAGCCATTCTTTCCCTGTTTGGGATAATGGCCAACTCACATCATGCAGATTCGTTGCGGTGCCGTTGAACAAGACCTTGACGAGATTCCCGCCTTGAGCGGTCCCGGACGTGTGCAGCGGCTGCGCTACATCACCGATGAAATGCACAACCCACATGAGAGCCTGCTGGCAGTCCACGTCGGGTTGGTAGCTGCCACCCTTCAGGCGTCGGACGCAGTGTGTGAGGATAGCCGTCTGGTTGGCGATCTGGGCTACAACACAATCACCGTCGTCGCAAACGCCGTCCCAGCGATTCGAGCAGTTCGAAGTGGATACATTTTCGTGCAAATCAATGAAATGCCAGTTATAGGAGTAGGGCGCTCCGACTTTCCGGACCGTGTCGGCCCATGCTGCAGCTTTCCCAATCGAGCCGCAATATTTTGGATCGAGAATCCGGGCCGCGATGCTCGATGCTTCAGGAGTGAGGAGTCTTTCTGCCATGAAAGCGATTTGATTGTGGATTTGGAGATGCCAGGCGTACGCACTACTGGCCAGGCATGCTGCGAGGATGCTGTACGTCCGCATGATGCTCCAATCTCACCGTGGAAGCGATAATGCTGTGGATGGTAGGGCCTGTTGTGCGCTTTGTTACGTTCAGGCTGGATAAGAAATGTATGGGCGTTGAGGGAAATCATCTGGAGACGCCAGGCCGGCCAGCCACCGCACTTTCCTTCCAGACTGTGGCGGGCGTTGTACCGCAGTTCAACCTCATCTCTTACCTTGGCCGCTATCTCGCATACATCATCAACTGGATGGACAAAAAACTTCAGATATCGGTATAAATCGAGAAGAAGGGCGAAGATGCATCTTCAAAAGGAAGACGGACGCAGAAGCAAGGGCCTTCGTCGGACTGGGATGCCGAAAAGAGAAATGCCGACAAGAGGTGAGTGAAATCTTCGCACTTGGCACGCGGATTACGAATCGCCACCACCGGGACAACAATCTACATACCGACGGGACGTAGCGTCTATCTTCACATGTTTTGCAGCCGCAGCGCAGAGTTAGTGGCCACTGATAGTCTTACCGCCGCGAGTCCGGCAGCAATGGCACCGGATGAATTGGGCTTCACAGCATGCCGGTCTCCACCCACGGAGCTCGACGACTGGACGACAGGCTCATCATCGTCCCAGTTGAGCTCGAGCAACCAGAGTTTTTCCTCTTTGACTCTCTTTGTTGGGATATATAAGAAAACGCCCGGTTTCGTCGTGTATCTACCCTTCTTCTTGCACTCTATGCTATCTCGAGCTTCTTCCCAACTACACCCAACGACCTCTCAACGTCTCTGGAATGCCGTTTGTCGCCCAGTTAAGTGACCGGTTGCAGCATCTTGACTGTGGATAGATCACATCGTCTGGATACAGAGGGCATTCTGACCGAGCACTGCTGTCGACAAATTAAGAACAATCCATCATGGCACCTTCGATTACTCACACCGAACTCGAAGATGGAAAACCCCGCCAATCTGGGCCCTCCATGGATGTCAGCTCTTTCGGATGGGACTACATGCGTTCTGCACCTCCTTCCCGTCGGCCTTCTTTTGGCACAACCATCTCCGACGAGTACGAAAATATAGCATCCGGCGCCGCGACGCCTACACCTCTGCTTGGAAAGCCGGCTCTGTCTCGCAACCACACCTACAATGGAGAATCCCTTGACAGAGTCTACGAACTACAGGACTTGCATCAGACTCATAGCCACATGGGCGACGCTCTGCAGAATCTGGCCTTGGCTATAACGGATACGAGCCACGCCGAGGAAGGGCAGAACCAACTTGAGAGAACTCTGAGTCGGAGGCTGACGCCGGCTTTTCCAGACGGGAGGAGACCTTCCCATCTACCTAGTCGGTATGAGGAAGAAGGTAGCCCAACGGGGCCAAGGAAGTCGCAGGGTGTACCGCCTGAACTGAGGAACCTCACAGCTGAAATCGTCTTTGTTACGGTTTGTTCTGCGGGCCAGTTGCTCTTCGCGTTCTTCATGGGCGATGTCAATGTCAATCAGCAAGCTTTCAAAACTATACTGGGACTGGAGCAGGGACAACTTCCCTGGCTTGTGGGCTCTTTCTTAACCGCCCTTGGTCTGAGCGTTATCCTTTCTGGATCCTTGACGGATTTGTTGCCGCCTAAGCTTCTCATCGTGGGAGCTTTCGTCTGGCTGACGATTTGGAACATCATCGGAGTCTTCAGTTTGACTCCATCCAGATCGATTCTCTTCTTCATCATGCGCGCTATGCAAGGCCTGGCTGTTGGGATCTTGGTCTCGGGGAGTATGTCGATTCTTGGCCGCGTTTACAACCCAGGACAGCGCAAGACTCGCGTCTTCAGTGCAATGGCAGCTGGCGCACCCTTTGGATTCTGGCTCGGCGCCTTGCAGGGAGGCGCTCTGTCTTCGAGACTCGACTGGATCTTTGGAAGCAACGCTATTATCTGCGGTCTCTGCGCGCTTGCCGCCTACGTCGTCATCCCATCTCTGCGGCCCGTCGCGGACAATGCAGGAGCCGAAGCGCCTACGCTGAGGTCGTTCGACTGGAAAGGGGCCATCTGCGCGACTGCAGGGTGCATATGTCTCCTGTTCGGGCTTACGCAGGGATCTGTCGCCGAATGGTCCCCTTACACATACTCCCTCATCATCGCGGGCGTCCTGATCCTCATCTTCTTCTTCTGGCTCGAAACCAAGGTCCGTCGACCTCTGGTCCCAGCAAGACTCTGGAAGACACCCGGCTTCGCGCCCCTCATGTTGGCCTACTTCCTCGGGTTCGGCGGCTTCGTCGGCGCCTGGCAATTCTATGCCGTGCAATTCTTCCTCACCCAGCAAAAAGTCTCCTCGATGACCGTGGCGCTCTACCTCCTCCCCAACGCCATCATGGGCGTCCTGGCGACTTTCATCGTCTCACGCCTCATGCACCGCATCCCGGGACACTACATCTTCCTCGCATCGCAGTTCTTCTTCGCCCTCGGACCGGCTTTCTTCTTGCCACAGAAGCCCTCGACGAGTTACTTTGCACTTTCCATGCCGGGGATCGGTCTGGCGACTTTTGGACCGGATCTCAGTTTTGCGGCAGCTAGCATCTACATCACTTCTTCCGTGGCGAGGAGTCATCAGGGTTCCGCGGGGAGTCTGCTGGTCACGATTCAGAATCTGAGCAGTGCGATCATGACGAGCGTGGCGGACAGTATTGCCGCCAAAGTCGATGGGAATGCGCAAGGCGAAGTCGGCTTGGAAGGCTTGAGGGCTGCTTGGTGGTTGGCACTTGGGGCGGCTGTGGTTGGGGGTGTGGTTACCGCTGTGTGGGTCAGGATTCCCAAGGAAGAAGAGAAGGATCATGTTGCTTAGACCTGCTCTGCTAACTGAAAGTGTTGACGTTGGAAGACGTGTTGTGGGCTAGTGTTGCTATTTCGGATCGGAAGATCTTTCTGCGCAGCCCCACGCGCGCTAGAAAGGATGTACATATACGTATGCACAGTATGGCTTTGGAAATAGGTACGGATCTTGGCCCCGATCCTTTTCGTGTGTGTGTGTGCGTGTGTGTGTGTTGGAGACTACTTCACCGACATCCCACGAGAACGGCATACTACTTCTTCGTGCCGTGGAGAAGGTTCGCACGACACCTCGGAAACCATAAAAGCCAGTCATGCGAAGAAGAAGTGGGCATGCTTTGAATCATTCATCCATGCCCCCCCTCCGGGACCTTCGGGACTTTTAAATGAAATATTGGAATTCCTCGGGTGGGTCGAATTCGTTGCGTGGGTACCTATGCGGCGCCAAAACTCTACTAAGGTACGTTGTCGCGAGATGGAACTCTTTTTTTTTGAGTTCCCCGTGATGGCTCGGTGAAATGTGTTGGCAGCCGACGATCACTTCACGAAGTGGGAAGGTGGGTGTTCGGATTCGAACTCTTGGGTGGATATTTTGTCTCCATGCGACTTATTTCGGTGTTGTTGGTAGCGCGAAAAGAGAAGAGAAAAAAAGGTGGAGGCTTCTATAGCCCTAGATATTCGTGGACCTGTATAGATACAATTTTGGCAGTCTCTGCATGAGTCGTCGTGTGTGTATAAAGATGAAAGGCTAGTCTATATACTTCCAGGTTTGTTAATCAAGGAAGCACACAGTAACAACCACAGTCAGTCAGTCGCTCGCTCGAGTACGGATCGGTTGCTTCTTTCTGTATTAGATATATACATATATTTTTGATTGTTCCTTCTTTCCCAGTATGTTTATCTTTACGGCTTCTCTTGCTCTCTTGGCAACAACAACAACAACATTATGTTCCGCCGCACCGACGACGAGGACGACGACACCTTTGATCCGATCTTCTCTGGCCAAGAGAGAGGCTTCTGGGCCCAAGATGAATGGGACGAATTTCCCTGGTCAGTCATCCATCTTTTCCCATCCTTCTCAATGGATCTCGCGTCTGACTGTGCAGCCGTATAATAGACCCATCGATCATCAATGTCAACGACACATGGTACTCCTTCTCCACCAACTCGGGAGGCCGAAACATCCAGATCGCTACTTCGGATGACTTCGATACCTGGACGCTCTTGCAGACGGATGCCTTGCCAGACTTACCGGCTTGGATCAGCGATCAGCCGACAGATGTTTGGGCTCCAGATGTCAGTCTGTTGGTATGCCATCCCCCCCATCTTGCAAAAATTTCCCCCATTTTCTCGCATGAAATACTGATGTGGTCTGGTTAGGACAATGGCTACTTTATCATGTACTATACCGCCCGTACAGATGAGGACTCCCGCTACCACTGCGTCGGAGCAGCCACATCACAGAGCATCGAGGGGCCCTTTGAACCTTGTTCGGACGACCCCTTGATCTGTGATCTCTCCGTCGGCGGAGCGATCGATCCTGCTGGGTACGAAGAAGATGGCCAACGGTACATCCTCTGGAAAGTCGACGGGAATGCTCTCCCTTATGGATCCGGCCCCTGTGGCCCTACCAATCATACTACCCCGTTGTATATCCAGCCCGTTGCGGCAGATGGCGTTACGTTGCAAGGCTCCAAGAGCCAACTCGTCGATAACCAGGGTTCTTCAGACGATGGAATCGTCGAGGCTCCGAGTCTGACAAAGTGTGGATCGACCTATGTTCTCTTCTTCAGTTCGGGATGTTTTACGACCACTAATTACAAAGTCAACTACGCTACGAGCACGAGCTTGACAGGGGGGTTTCAGAGGGCGCAGAATGCTCTCTTCCAGACTGGTACGCAGAATTTGACGGCGCCCGGTGGCGCTTCTATTGATCGGGACGCGAAGCATTTGGTTTTCCATGCGAATTACAATGGTGGGAGGGCGCTTTGGACGGACATCGTTACTATAGATGGAGATCAGGTGTCAGCTTGAGCGTGGTGTTTGAGATTCGGTGCATGACGAGTGATGTTGTATATGAGTTGATGGACTTACTTCATGACGGCCCTTTGCCTTATCAATGTCCTCCAGAAGAGGACTGTTCATCTGAAGCAGCGGGTGGAAGACACCATTGCCAGTCTCATTGCTCTCCAACCATGCTTCTGTCGCAGCAGCACAGGATCAACTGTAAACATCTGAACGGACGAACAACATTGTGACAAGCTCGATCCACCTGCAATTCTCCGCCGTATGCCAGAACACTATTGCTGGCAATCTCCAAAGTGGTTTCGCCACGTTCCGAGAGCTGCTTCTGCGCTCGACAGTTCGAGGTCGGCGTCCTCAAAGTTCATGTTTGCCGCACGCTCGTGCGCAAGTTCCCGCAACGGCGTGAGGTTCTGCGCTCTGCGTTCGGCCTCCATCTCCTCGAACGACCAGTCCCAGTAGCGCCGGATACGGTACTATGGCAGTCATCAGTCTCAATCGCGTAGCGAGAGGATGGGGGATGCACTCACCGATAGATGGCGAGGTCCGGTGGCGATCTTCAGCTTCAGCACATAGATTGCCAAGAACCACCGATGCTTCCTCTCATTGCCCTTGAGGGACGCGTGGTACACATCTCTCTGGAAGTTGAGATGGTCGTCGGCGTGCTCGATCTGGGCGTTCATGTGGTCGAGCGTCTGTGAGTCCACGGCGAAGTAGGTCGTCTTGGACTCGAACCAGACAGGGTTACGAATGGCGAGTTCGTAGTTGTCGCGGGCCGTCTTCAGGTGCTCGAGCTCGTTTTCGAGTTGTTGGATGCGGTGCGACAGCATCAGGTCATCGAGTGGGCCATCCCTATCCGTCAATTCAGCTTCTCTTTGCTTCACGAACACGTTAATTCCATCGGCGGAGTCCTGGCGGTCCAGCATCGTGGCTTCGGCAATGGCTCCGGCGTGGCTTTGATGGAATTGTTGTTTCGTGTAGGTGTGGAAGTTGGGAGGAAGTTCGAAGTGAAGTTGGCGGAAGTGAGTCGAAAGGCACGATTTTTGAGTGGCGGCTTCTTCCGCTGTGTTTACTTTGGCCCCGCGGCAAGCGCATGTGAAAGGGGAAGGCGCGACCCAGTCTCTCACTCGCTCTCAGCAGACGACGACTCCATCAGAAACCTCTCCAATCTCTCCGCCTTCTCTCTTCTCGCAGCCCTAGGTTCCTCGTGCACCGATCTCCGCCCATCCCAACCGCTCACGACCTGAACACTTGAGAATTTCCCCTTCCAAGACCTGATGTCATTCCACCAGTCTCCCTCATCACTCACAATAAAGCACTCCAGCGTCTTAAGATTTGGCGGCAGAACAGCAGGCAGGGTTGGATTCACTGGCGATCGGATGCAGACGTTAAGCGTTTGGATAGCATCGCGTTGTTCTTGGAATAAGACCGTCCCAAGGAACAAGTTCATATCGAAACGATTCTGGAATGCGAAGGTGTTACTGGCGTACGGCAGGAGCGCGGCCTCTTTGTGGATCTGTCTGCAGACTTGGAGGAGAGACAGATTGTATTTTGTGGAAGCATACTTGATTTCCAGACCTGCAGGTGGCTCGCCGTACTTCTCGATCATCGACTTGCGGTACTGGAAGTAATGGATGCAGGGAAAGGGACATCTGCATTCTTTGCCGGGGAAGGACATGTATTCTCGCCACTGGAGATCGTGGAGCACGGCATTGCAAGGCTTGTGATCTGTGTAGTAGCCTTGTAAAACGTCGTCGCATTTGCTGTGCTCAGGCTTGAGATGGCCCCGCTCGTCAAAATACTTGCTAGTATTTGACTCTGGTTGCAAACTCATCCGGTAGGCCTCGCTGAACGACCGCGGGCAAAGACAGACGGAGTGCATCAACTTGACTGGATCTCCGACTTCCCTCGGGTAGCCTCCATCTTCCAAAGGCTGTCGACGACGGATTCCAATGTGAATATTCCTGTTACAGAGAACATATTCTATGATCTCGCTTCGAAGTTCTGCGGGCAGACGAAGCAATGGGGATGCTATGGCGTTCCGCTTGGTAATTTCTGTTCTTGTTGCGTCCCTCGATGTTTCTTTGGAGCCTTCTGTGTCCATTATTGACGTTACAAGCTTCGTGTACACGGGTTGGATGGTGTTGATAGGACGGAAAGGATGGGTGCTGAGACGAACACATGTAGCGGTGGAGATCCATGACGCGAGATCGACAGGGCTGACAAGCATCGGAAATAAGGTTGGCGGATGTGGGGCTTAGCGCAGGGCTCAAGTGAAGTTCCCGAGCGGCGCATGTGCTTCAACTTCCGCCTGGTGCTTGGCAACGACGTCGAGGCGGTTGGTCGTTCGATCGGACATTCGTGTACTCAAAACTGATAGGGGCAGTGGAAGATGTAGAACAATCGCCACGAAACTGCCGCGCGACACACTCGATCAGCCTCCAATATGGCGTCCACCACCACCCTCACGTCCACCACGGATACCCCGAAGCTCGCGAAGAAGGGCAGCGACTCGAAGAATCCGACGACACCGGCTCAGACCGTATTTGGATGTCGTGTGTAGCTCCAGCACGAAGAATCGAGGGCAAACCAGGCTAATGGGGCTGCAGCGCATATCAAGGGCCTTCTACAGAACGCGCGGCAACAGGCGGTCGATGGGTACACCAAGCTTATCAATTCGCTACGTCAAGAGAAAGGTATCACGAGCAGAATACACAAGACGCCGAATGGGCCGGCATATACACTCTCAACGACGTATTTGTGCTTGCAATGCCCGAATGTCAGCATCTCGAGGGAAAGGCACCACAAAAACCATGGTTTCTGTGAGTACATGCAGGCTCATTATAGGCTGGATACTGACTGCGGAGGATAGCTGTTGAGTCAGATAATGGCTTTGTCTTCTGCCACGAATGCAGAGACTTCGTGTACGATCCCACCTTTGAAGAGATTCGGGCGGGCAACAGCAAGAAGAGGAAGCACCGGCCAGAGAAGATACAAGAGGCGGACAAGAAGCTGATGGCGACCAACTCTTCTGTGACGTCGTGCTCCGCGACAGGTTTACGAGGTCTTTACAATATGGGTCAGACGTGCTTCATGTCGGTCATCTTGCAGTCCCTCATCCACAACCCCATCATCCGGGCGTGGTACCTCCAGGAAGGCCATAAATCCGGCGACTGCGGCCGCGAGGCCTGTACGTCCTGCGCCCTCGACGAGACATTTAACGAATTCTATGGGCAAGAGAAGCATGAAGGGTATGGTGCTGTGCATATGCTGCAAGCCTGCTGGAAAGGCGGAGGTGGCTTGGCGGGATACAGTCAGCAGGACGCACATGAGTTTTTGAACTTCTTCCTCAACAGCCTACATGAGGCGAATGCGGAAGACGATGACAAGAAGGACACGAAAGATTGCGAATGCATCATACACCAGACTTTTGGCGGCTTCTACAGCAGTACCGTCACCTGCTCGACGTGCAATAACAGCACGACAACGACAGAGCTGTTCATGGACCTGAGCTTAGATATCAAGACTACTGGCTTTGTGACGAAGAAGAAGAAATTGCCCATGACGAACGGTGTACAGACCATCAAGGAGGCCGTCCCGATGGATCTGGAAGAATGTCTGGGCCGTTTCACGTCTACGGAGACTTTGCCGAGTGACAGCTACCGCTGCTGGAAGTGCGATGCAGATCGAGAAGCTAAGAAGAAGATCAGTCTTACAAGCCTACCGCCGGTGGTCCCGATACACCTCAAACGCTTCTCGCACTCCAAGACCGATTCTAAGAGTAGCAAAGTCGACACCAGGATTCGGTTTCCCTTCACAATGGATCTGGCACCTTATGTTGCATTATCATCATCCTCACAGAAATCTGGACAGTCGGATAATGCCAACGGCGACACCAATCTGAACGAGAGGAAGGGGGGACCCGAAGAAGCCATCTATGAGCTTTCTTCCGTGATTGTGCACAAAGGCAAGATTGACAATGGACATTACATCTCTTATGCTAAGCAAGGAGGGGCATGGTTTCGGTTCGATGATAGCATGGTGGTGCAAGTCGAAGAGAAGGATGTACTAGGCGCGGAGGCTTATATGTTGTTCTATGTGGTGAGGGAGTTTTGAGGTGCTGTGGCTGAGTGGTAAAGGCATTTTTGGGCGTTGACTTTTTTACCTGGACAGTACCGCTGCATTCTTGCGTGAGTGGGATGGCAGACGCATTGCCCCTTGCGCTATTAGCTTATCGATTTTGGAACACAGGGAGTATGGAAGATAAGGGGGTTCTTCCGGATTGCTGGTATACCTCTATGCGTGGTCATTCCCAAGGCTTCGGTCAATGTCATCGCTCCTTCGCGAGCTGAAGCAAGCATGTTGCCCGTGGCTGGTGAATTCGCTACTTGAATGGGCTGGATTTGGAGAGGGTCAGTGGATTAGGTAGGGCAAGCTGAATAGTAGAGCCCATGCTCCCCACTTGGCATCCAATCCGACTCCACCAGCGTATACGAGATTCTCGGCTGCGAAATAGCAACCTTCTGGACTGTGGTCGACTGTGTCTCCGGGATACCAGTACTACATGAGAGTGGAATGGCGTGCGTCTGCAAGCAGGATCAGGATCGAGAAGTATTCGCGGTCAAAAGCCTTACGAAAATGCGGCAAACCCCCTCGAGTGTATCGGCAGCAGCATTGATTCTGTTCCTCGAGAGGATGAGTCGGAGTCGAAATTCGAATTTCAGCGCTGCTGGGCATGTACAACGCCGGGCCGAGTGCACTCTATCCTCGAGCATGTTGGCGATCCCGCCGATGATGCAGCAAGACGACACGACACGAGATACTACATGTCCAGCTCACGCGGCTAAGGGTACGGCCAAGAATATGCAGTTTCAACCTCTTTGCTCCTGCAGGATTTGAGAGAAGCCATTTCGGGAGCCTGGGAATGTCGTGACCGGCTAAGAGATGTTCTCCGTGGCCCATCCGTCGGCTCGGCGGTCATGCAAGCGAGGTCAAAAAGCCGTCGCTGCATGTGTATTGGAGCTGATGTTGATGTATGTTTTTTTTCAGTCTTCCCTTGAGCCATTATGGCGGTCTTCGAGGCAGATCGGCGTCACCGACTGGGGCTGCTCATGTTTGCGGCGCAGGGCGACAGAGCAGGGCACCACTTGGTCGATTACAGGGGGATGGATGCTTGATCATGGGAGTCACATGGTCGACGAAGAATAGAAGCGGATGTGCGGTGCGAGGATGCGTTGTCGATCGTCGAAGATTGCGTGCGTGTCGTCCACGCGATATCCCTGTCCTTTCACTCAAGTGGTCCGTGCACTAGTGCGGACTCCACTTCGAGAATCTCCGTCTTCTCAAACTTGTGATCAACAAACTCCATCCAACGACGGATACAACGTCGCAACGACCGCGGGCAGAGCTGTATCGTCTTCACTTCACCTGTCTTCAGGAGCCGTCGGACGGTGATCAGTTGCCTTACGCACCCAACTAACCCAGTCAGATCACACGTCTCACCCTCAGCCGCAACCAATGCACGTCTTGGCCACATGTGATGGACCAATGACTGCAGACCGGATTGGCGCATAGGCTCGTGCTCACAGTTCCTATAGCCGATGCATGAGAGCGACACATTGATCCGGTCCCGTCGGCGACACAGAGCGGGCAAGCCTGCCGCACTCGCGAGGACAGCGTGCTGTAATGCCACCCGGTATCATGACCACAAAAGATCACTTCAACCGGCTACAGCCTTCAAGTCGGGCCCATAGCCCTCTTTTGCGGCAAAGCCAGCGAGCGTCCGCTCGTTGTCACGAGCTTCTCCCGGCTTCCCACAATGGACTGGTTGACAGGACTAGAGGCCCACGCGAATAGACAGCAACATGTCGAGGGAGCTCAGAATTCTGACTGGTTGGTGCAGTCATATTATCTTGTGGCCTCGCAAGCCCGTTGTGAGTGAGCCTACTCACACTTCGACGATGCCGTCCATCAGAGGGAGTCATGCCCATTGATCCTGACTGCACGTCCTCCTACCTCACGACCGGCACAAAATTGCTCCACCTGTCCCGATGTTCCTCTCGCCATCTGCATCATTTCTAATTCCTCATCGCGCTTGACAGGGGCGTCACGGCCGTACCCGGCTGCGATACTTACCGCCAATCAACTGTGCAAATCCGTGGCTACCCAACCGCTATTTCATCTTGGCTCGGACCGCCTTGTTCTGGAGCTGAAACGAGTCTCCAGGACCAACATGGACTTAAACTTAGATTATGCCTCGAACGAAGTTTGACAGCAGAATCGTGGAAAGACGAGATGCCGTGGTATGCACACTCTCATTCCCCATACGGTGGCAACTTTGGACACCCGACACTTACACCTTGGAGTGTCTTTGATACCCACCAAATAAGGAATGCTGCGCCCCACTGCATTATTTCTTGTAACCTTTTACCGCAAGCATCGCCCTTATCTATTTCAGCCCTGGGATGTCGCATTTAGGTGTCGTACTTTGGCCACATCTATCCCTGCTCCAACGACTCCCAACTTGACATCACTGATCATCATAAAGGTCCATTCGAGCATCGAAAGTCGATCAACACATCACCGCAGAAAGAGCTACATCCGAGAACGAGCAGAGATGTCTGGACACCATCATCAGCCATCTTCATCCAATGAGAGCGAAGAGTACGCCTACACTCAGACCTATGCTCCACAGGACATGCACCCCCAGACAACATTTCCAGGCTATCAGACGCAATATGCGACGTCGTATCTTCCACCTCAGGACTTGTTTGGTCAGCTTCAACAATACCAATCGCCGCCCCAGTATCGGCCTTTTCAAGGTCAAAGTCTTCCGTCCGTACTTGGCCAGCCGTGGACGCAACCAGCTGTCCCCGCAACGTACGGGTTTTTCGATCAACCAAATCAATCTTTCCCACAGTATCTAGATGCATTCCAAGTGCTCGAGGAGCCTGTGATTGCTGGTCCGTCGCCCTTTTCAACCAGCTATCTGTCCCCAGGACAAGCGAACAGACCTCGAACCTCGCGAGCAACCTCATGGGCATCCAACGCAAGCTCCATCTCGGAAATCTCACGAAGTGTGTCGCCCAATGCGAGCGAGATGCTCAAATGGGGGTGCCAAAACGAGAATGGAAGTTGGTCCTGCGCATACCCTGGCTGCTCCTCGAAATCCACCTTCAATCGAGGCTGTGATCTCAGGAAACACTACAAGCGACATACTAAGTCCCTGTTCTGCCGTCACGATGGCTGTCCTCAATCGAAAGAAGGCGGCTTCTCCAGCAAGAAGGATCGCGCACGCCATGAAGCCAAGCATAATCCCAACGTTGTATGCGAATGGAAGGGCTGTGAACGGCTTTTCAGCCGTCAGGATAACATGGTGAGTCGCTCCGCTACCGCATGAAACGACGCGCGGCTGGGCCTGACCGATACTCTCAGAAGGACCACGTTAGAAGAGTGCACAAACGACAAACTGCATGAGCGCGATTCTCAACGCTACGTCAACTCCACGAGAATGAACGTTGCGTTTGTTTCACAAAACGTCGCTTACGTGACGAGAATAGAGTGTTCTCTGTCAGCACCCTATTCTCCCGCATGCAACGCGCATAGCATCACACCGAGTGTTTAGTTGATTCTGTAATTGCGGAGGAACATTCGGAATGACAGGGATACTCGCACTTCTAAGCTTGCAGATGACCAGAATCACCAACCGGCAAGCTCGCCGCCTACGCATCGGCGCTTGACGATACCTTCCCTGGCAGTGCGACGGCGAAACCGATGGCTGCTGTACGCTCTTACTTCGACTGAATGGGTATGCTACGTACCCTTCTGATCATCTACGTAGTTGCGGTGCACTGGGCGCTGTCAGTGAGATACCGCGCTCCAGTCCGGTAGCTTCACACGAGAATCGATGGCGTCGTGGCCTCGCAGCGTCCCATAGCAGGGAATTGAAGCTTCTTTGGCCATCGAAATGTACTACAGTCACTTTGTGTTCTCTGATTCTTCTGCTGCTGCTGATAAGCCTCGAATTCATCACGAAGCCCTCATGGACCGCATCATCTTTTCGACCGCCAAGTCAAACGTCTCCAGGGCGACTGAAAACAACAGAAGCGTCTGATCGGTGAAGACAAGCCTGCGCCAGCAAGGCCATTTTGTTTTTGAACTCGGGAGGTTCTGGGAGAGCAAGAAGTGTCTGTTCTCATGGCTGGGTGACTTCCTGGAGGGGCGTCGAATAGGGGGTTCAGTCCCCGTTTGCTATGGGGCGGCATTGCAACGCATTCCCGTCCTCACCAACCAAATCCCGGCAGAGACCTTCGGTTCATCTCATGTACTTCTCTACCGAAACATCTTCGTGGCGATGGATATCGCTAAGCCTACCGCCTGCTGTTTCGTCCTCTAGTATCGCAATATTCGCAGCGACAAGCGAAGTTTGAATTACCTCACGCTGGAGGCATTTGGCTGGAAGATATCGATGGCAGAGAGTAGACTGACATACCAACCCATGGACCTTTTGTCCTCGAACACTTGAAAGCCAGGCCAGCACGCGAAACCTCGGTTCGAGAAGTCCACCGTTTTTTGCGACAATGTCATGGCTCTTTAGGATGGCAGCGACTGGAACGAATGCAAATTAATGTGCAAGCAGACAACGACGTAGTTGCCGCTGATTGCGACAGATCAATCGTTTACCTGACACAAGACAGCATCCTCGGCAAGTTCCGAAATCCTGGTCTGTCACATGCGACTATCCCTGTTCGAAGCTGACGCAGGATGCGTAGAGTGCGTTTAGGGCTGAGAGCTGAGCGAGTTGGAGACAGGGCAGACAGGAAACTGCTGCCGGTGCTCCGCAGGAGTCATGTAGGCGTAGGGCGATGTGGGAGACGGGACGAGAATCCATGGCAGGGAGGAAGGGACGTGTGAGTGATGGATCAGAGATGACCTTGAGCCATGCGTTACAGGTACGATGAGATTTTCTGGATTCGTTTTGTGTCCAAATCTCTATAATATGCCTGGCAAATCATGTATTTTGATCCGAACTGAGTGTTCCCTGCTCATCCAAGCTTTGCATTTTGTGTCCAAGACAATTCTTTGCCGTTAGCCAAGTTCAATCCCTCTCACTCGAGAAACGAGGCACTGTGGTGTAACATGTGCTGTTTCCAAACCATCTGCGAGTTCTTCTGTTATCGTTCTCTCACAGAACCATCGCACCAACCGCCAATCCCACAATCGCCAGCCCCTTCCTGACCGATCCCGTCTCCCCAGCACTCGCAACACTCGTCCCCGTCACCTCAGCAATCCTTCCACTCCCCACAACCATCTCTCCCTCCGGTCTCCCTGTCGGAACACCCACATCCGGCATCTTCGACACCGTCGTCCATTGCTGTCCCAAAGCAGTCGTAGCAGGCTGCGCAATCAATCCACAGGGCTTTCCCAGCCCCACAATGTCGTAGAGTGTCCAGATTTCGGCATTCTGAGGTTCGTAGGTGCAGGCCAGACAGGTGTTGAGGATGTTGATGAAGTCGTTGGAGGTGCAGTAGGTGGGTCCGAGGGTGAGTGCTGTGGTGATTGCGTTGGCTGGATGGGAAGAGGGGTATTAGTGCATGGAGTTTAGTGAAAGGAAAGCGAGGGAGAGATTTTTACTGCATGATTCTTTGCAGGTTTCGTCGCCTGGGATTGTGTCGCGGATTTGGAGAAGAGATGTCGATTGTGAGATGGGGTTGGCTTCGGTCGGGTCTCTGGAAATCGCAGATGCAATCTCTTGGGTGAGTGCGAGAGAAGGAAGAGCTGTTGCGAGGAAGCTGCGAAGTGAGACCATGGTGGAAGCTGGTCTGGCGAACGAGTGGGCGGAAATAGCAGAAGAGAGCGTGGATCAGAACGAAGTTGTGCAAAGCATTTGACAGGGCAAGACAGAAATGGAGGGAATGGAAAAAATGTTGTTCGCCATGCACTGCCACGTTGTGGTAGTTGTCCTATCCGAGGCAGGCTCATATTCTTTGTCGAGGAAGGACGAAGGGGCAATCCGCGGAAGTGGCATTTCAGAAGCTGAGTGGAAGGCACTCCGGATCCAAAACATACGGGTCCTCACCCAACAAGTACTAAATCCGCCACAGTCATCAGCTACTGGAAAAGTATTCGGTTCATCCTCAAAAACCTCGAACGAACTCCACTTGCAAGGTCCATTGCCGCTGCAATAAACGTACAAAATGACCGCATTCCTTGAGCGTCCGAATTTCTGATTATCTGGATTGCAAGAGTGACCTTCAAAAATAAGTCGTCGTATATCCGAGGACTGCGAATGCATATCCATGAGGCCGGCGACGACCCCGTTCTCTGGACTTATCTGGATGTCACTCGCACGATCCGGAGTCTTGAAGTGTCGCTCACGGATCAAAGCATCGGAAATGATATCGTCGGCGTTGCTAGCATATTCGAAAGTTTCTCCTTGGCTGAGCCATTGTGGCTGGTTGGGGAACTTGTTACGGTAGGCGAAGACGGCTCGATTTCGTCTTCTGGTCGAGTCCGAAGCTAGTCTACACTATCATCGCCGTCTATGTCGTGGGTGAAGATGTCTTTGGGTCAGCCGTCGATACCTGAAGGCTTGACGCGATCAGGGAAAAGCAGGTAGGCACGATCTTCAGGGTTGTTGCGGTAGTCCCATTTGTTGCGTTAGATGACTGCGTTAGATGACTATGTCGACGTTTTTGTTCAGCTGTGAAGGTCAGTATTGGTACAGAAGACTGGTGAACAGGTTGAGCCGACCCGGATATAAGCATCATCTGTGGTGTGCCTGAGACCTCTGGAAGGACGGGTGATGTGCCGAAGTCTGGAGGTGGAATGTGCCGATGATCTCAGGGAATTTGGAATGTCTATATCGACGGCCGCGATGGGTTAGACGGGACGAGCTCTCGTTTATTCTGCTTCGAAGGAGATCTGCTGGTTTAGCCCGAAGAAAAGCAGAGGTTTCTCGGGATGCAAAGCCAAGCGTCGCCAAAAGCCATGGGCATCTAGTGAACCTGGAGGTGAAGACACGGGAATGGAAAGTCGAAGATTGCTGTAATTGTCTGCCTACGTTAGCATTTCATGTTGACACCCCTCCTCTTCTCACTCTCCCGAATCTCAAACATCATCTGTGCTCCCACAAACAATGTAGCACACGCAGCCAGCAAGAAGGCCCTGCCACCCCACGTATCCACAATTCCCTGCGCCAATCCCTTCAATCCGTCCAGGCCAACAGCGAACCCCACCAGATTAGCAGCCATCATCATAAGGATGTTGCCAACAGCACCGACACCGCAGATCCAACGATAGGTATTCGGGTGGTCTTTCCACTTCTTGGCCGGGAATGCCAGCGTAGCAAGGATCTCTGGAAGGACGAAGAGCGTAATAAGCCATCCCCACATGAGCAGACGCAGGTTGATGTCGTGCCAGAGCGCGACAAAGGTAAAGACGGCCAGGAAGTTGAGGATGCCATGGATCTTTGACTTGCCGCTACCGCCGAGCGGTATGTAAATGTATCGTACGATAAAGCGATTGAAACTGCGGTGCCAGCCTCTCCAGAATGCCAGTGCGGAGTAGTTGTCAGACATGCAGCGGACCATGTTTTCAGGCGGATCGATGCCGTCGACGAGGGCCCATAATCGGAAGAAGCGCCACGGAAGGAGGAGTTTGAGCCAGATGACGTGAAGATTGAAGTACCCCAACATGCTAAGTTGGAAAGGAGAGTAGACGTTCCAGTCAGGGTTGGACTTGGAGATGGCGACTGCGTAGAGGTAGTGCAAGACCAGTTCCATGCACAGCAAGCAAAGTATGAAACGGATAGCATAAGGAACAATGCGGGAGCGAGATATCGACGGAAGCGGATAGCGTGATTGCGAGATATAGTCGTTGAAGTTGATTATAGGTCCGGTCAAGTACAGCGGGGAGTAGAGCACGTATGCGAGGTAGTTGCGGAATGTGAAGTCGGCGGGCTTTGCACCGTTGGCAACGCGGTCTCGTTCGGTAAGATTCGCGGGATCCAGGTTTTTCTTCTGGAACGTATTAGCACAACATCACCACTGAGTCCGCCCTGGAAGTCAGCTCATGCACAGACATACCTCAATTGGACTGCTCGCTCTTCGATCTAACATCCACAAGTAGTCGAAGTTGAACGCAATGAGCCGCAGTACCGTGATATTGAACAATATCTCCCACCGTGGAAGCAGACCACCGTAGTTATCCACCCAAGATCCCCAGTTGTCCTCGGAAGACTTGTCGGCTGCAGTTGTGGTGGCTGGAAGTATCAACCTGGCAACGTCGGCGAATCGGTAGCCTTGGCAGAGCTCGTTGGCAAACAAGATGGCAATATTGAACATCCAGGTCGATACTGCAACATACCGCTTTGGCAAAGCATTTGCAATCTGGAAATTGATGTATAGGATCAATAGAACCTTCAACGAAGATACACCATGCAATGCCAGCAAGAACACGGCCGCGAACCAGAGATCGAAGGAGATTCGAGAGTGCATTCTTGCATCTCCGGCTCTCTCGGACGAGGCTGCTGTGTCCCGCTTGAGGTCGCCATTGATCTGGCCGGGGTTTTCTTCTGCCCTGAAGTGTTCCAACCCTCGTCTGAGGAGCGGATGTAGCACGAGCAATATGGCCATGTACGGAATATTATCTCTGAATCCAGCATACTGGGCATCTGAATTATCGACTTTCCGGCCCGGTACCCACCCATCCTGCAGGAGGCCTTCATAATTTTTGTAACTCGGATGAGTCGGTTGTGAGACATCGTACACAGCTTTGAACATAAAGATGGGAATGGTCAGGAAGGCCAGGTAATAGACGTAATACTCCAGGGTGTTCCATTTTGGCGGCTGTGCGTTTGATAGCGGTTGGCCGTCCTTGGATTGGAAACGGGTGTCGAGGGTCTCGATCTTGTAGAGGTCCTTGAGCATTGCGTGCGTTGATCACATGTCTTTGCTGCGTTGGAGAAGATGTGAAGTGGCCTTTCATTCATTTGCCCCTGAGATGAGAGAATGGTCAGCGCCATTAGTGGTGGGAACGGGGACTTTCGCCGTGTTGCGTGGAGAATAAGCGAGGCTGGAAGCGAAAACGCGGGTCGCGACTGACTGCAGCTTCAAGAAACATTGAAATCGCGAGATAAGTTGTTAACATTCACACGATCCTGTCGCACACCGTTTGAGACGATACGAATTACGAGCAAATACCAATCGCCGCATGATCTAAAGCTCACATACCCCTCTCACCCACCATGGCATCGACACTCCCGCCAACGCAACCACCCGCCCACCAGGACTATGCCGGCGACGAAATCAACGCCCTCGTTCTCGACCCAGGCACCTATACCACTCGCGCCGGCTTCGCAGGAGAAGACACTCCCAAATCTGTGACGCCGACCAATTATGGCCTCACGTCCACCGGCGACAAGATCTTTGGAGAAAACGCAATGCACATTCCTCGTCCCGATGTCGAGATCAAGAACCCCTACAGCGCAGAAGGGCTTGTGGAAGACTGGGAGACTGCGAGTCGCTTGTGGGAGTACAGTATCACATCGCGACTGACGGGACCAAGGCAGACTCCTCCGAGTAAGAATGGCGCGAATGATAAGACGGATGAGAATGGCGACGTGAACATGGATGAGGCAGCAGAGCAGATGGACGAGCAGGAGAAAGTGCTAGGAGAATACCCGCTGTTGATGGTTGAGCCGGCATGGACCCCTCAGAAATCGAGGGAGAAGACGATGGAAATTGCAATGGAAGAATGGGGAGTTCCCGCTTTCTTTCTGGCGAAGAACGGACAATTGGCGGCGTATTCACAGGGAAAGGCGACTGCACTGGTGATTGATATTGGACATCAGAATACGGCAGTGACGGCGATGTATGAGGGTATGGTGTTGAAGAAGAGCATACAGCGGACGCCGTTGGCAGGCAATTGGCTGAACAACCAGATACGCCTCATGTTCAGCAACATGCAACCACCCGTGCCTCTCGTACCGCACTACATGGTGAAGTCCAAGCAGCCTGTAGATGCCGGCGCACCGAGTAATGCGACATACATGCAGTTCCCAAAGCCACCCACAGACAGCTTCCGAAGGCTAGAAGAGGAAAGAGTGCTCACCTCCTTCAAAGAAAGCATCGTCGCTGCTTGGCCGGGTCCAGCAAGGTGAGCTCGTCTGAGTACGACTTGAGGGCGATCAAACTGATAATCTATTAGACTCGACTCTCAAGCAGGCCAAGCAAACTTCACCAATCTCGACACAATCAAACAGTGGCCCGCAAAACCCTTCGAACTTCCCGATGGCTTCAACCAAGTTTTCGGCCCCGAGCGGGTAAAGGTCGTCGAGGGTCTTTTCGATCACAATGCAGCCTACACTTCCTCGGACTCCCCCGCTCCCTCCGGCGAGCAGACCATTACATCTACAGCCCATCGGGCCTTGCAAAACTGCGACGTCGACGTCAGACCCCATCTTATGAACAATGTGATAGTGACCGGAGCTGGATCACTTATCGAGAAGCTACCAGATCGAATACAGAGCGACTTGCAAGCTCTGTATCCTAATCCCAAAGTCAGAGTTATCGCAAACTCGAATAGTGTGGAGAGAAAGTATGCTGGTTGGATCGGAGGTTCTGTGTTAGGAAGCCTGGGCACGTTTCACCAGATGTGGATTTCGCGGCAGGAGTACGAGGAGTATGGAGCTAAGATCGTGGAGAAGCGGTGCAAGTGAGCGCAATGTGATGGGAAATGATTCAAGGACTGGCCCAGATGAGAAAAGCGTGTACTTCTAGAAATGGTCCCAAGAGAGATCAGTGCGACTGAGTAATAGAAAGCGACGTGTTGAGAGTCTTTCAGAATTCGTTATTTGGTATGAGAGTAGTGCCTTGCTCCTTGCGATGCTTCTAACGCAGCGCAATATGCAAGCTTTGTGATCCGTGTCATCAATCGCTGCACTCACCGGCAGCAGCACTCCAGTCGCTCTATGCCCACATACCAGCACCAAAAGGAAGAAGCCCTTTAAGACTTGCCACCCTTCTTGGCACCCTTCCCGCCCCGCGCAGCCTTCTGAGCCTGCTGTCTCTCCATCCGCGCCATTTGCTCCTTCTTCTCCTTTTCGAGGAACTCTTTCTCCTGCTTCTCCGCTTCCTTCCGCGCCGCTGCTTCTTCACGCTGTTGCCGCACTAGCTTCAGCCGCTCCAAGTCTGCCCTCGCCTCGTCCGTCTTGCCCTCCGCGTGTAACTTCTGATACCGCTCTTTCGACTGTTGAGCCTGCAGGGCTTCCCGTTCACGACGGGAGAGCTGCGAGACATCATCCACCTTCTTCGGCTTGGCGGGTTTGTCGGAGGGAACAATGGGCTTTTCGGCCTGTTTGCGTGCGGCGTTACTGTGGTTTGGGTTCGCGGGCATGTCCTCGTCGTCTTCTTCTTCGTCGGAGGAGTCCGAGGGTGGGAGGTCGCCCGGTTGGGCGGGCCCTTGTTTCTTTTTGATTGCGGCTTCCTTTTTTGCCTTTGCTGCTGCGCGGCGCTCTTCGCGGGTCATTTCCGTCTGTTCTTGAGGCTTTGAGGGGGCGTCATCGTCGCTGGAGTCTTCCTCGGAGTCGTCATCGTCGTCTTCGTCGGATGAGTCTTGGTCCTTTGCTGACTCCCCCCACATGGAGTTCTCGACGCCCTCTGCATCGAGAGGCCGGAGGTTCTTCGAGAAGCTGCGGCCACCTGTGGGAGAGGGACGTTAGAGCATGGCAGTGTAGTAAGTTGAACTTGGAATCTCTCACCTCCTCGGTTAGGCTTTCGATATTTGCCTGCACGGGCTCGAGTAGACATGTTGGCTGTTTGGTGTGTTTGTATGAGGTGTCGGTGGGGTTGTACTGGAGGCGGGCTTTAGTGGGGTTGTGCTGGAGGCGGTCTGTTTATGTTGTAGGTTGTCTCTGCGCGAGAACAAGAGAAGGTGCTGTCGACGCTTTTGTGGGAGAGATCTGCCGCAAGTGAATAGGTTTCCTACCCGCGTGAAGGGGTACAGAAGAAGAGTCACAGGCGAAGTGCTGGTGAAATTCAACATGGAAGAGGCGCTGCCCAAATCATGTGCTCCCTGATTCGCTGCTGCCCCATGGCGGTGACAGACTTGCCGACCCGATGCGGGCCCGCCCGTAAGCACGTGCTCCCGCTCCCACAACATCATCTCGCGCGAAATCTTCACTCTTCTTCTCCTCTTTCTCTCCACGAAAACGATACCCTTCCTATTCACTCTGCTTACCGCAACCACTTCCACGGTGAAACGGAGGGGAAATGGAAGGGCAGATTGATGAAAATATACGTTGGCTTACCCCTGCCTTTTCGAATCTGCGTGGAGAGGGAGGAAATACATACGACGGTACAAGCTCTCATCGTGGAGACCTGAATCTTGATCAGATGCATCGATCTTCACACTAGAGCAATGCTGCCCCATATCTGAGCGCGATGCCATTGGTACGACAGAGTGTTCTGCCTGGCCGGGCGAAGTCGTTTGCCTTCAGGATTGTCAGGGCGGATTTGGCTTTGGTGGTGGCTTTTACATCGGCTTTGTAGTACAGTTCACTCCCGCAACACATAACTTGGCCCTCCCATTGACATCAAGTTGAGTTCTCAGCATTCGCAAAACGTTAAATCTCAATATCATGGCTGCCAGTCACTCGGTGTACACCGGTTTTTGGATCAATTGGAGTCAAGGCTCAATCGGCGGCGCCACTTTGACGCTCTCGTCTCAACATGGAGCCTATTTGGTCGCTTTCCTGGCTCTGTTTGTGCAGTTAGCCGGAGTGTACAGCTGGCAAATTCTATCCTACATCTTCTTCAACTTGAAAACTTCGCCTCAGAGGACGGATGACCTAACACAGCAGCATCTCGCCATCCTTCGTAACGTCGCTTCTGACTTCGGCACACTCTGGGAGTTGGTCAAAGCCAGCTGGAAAGCACGCCACTCTCATCCTAGGCCGTATCGTCGAATTCTGTACATCTTGGCATCGGCTTTTCTACATGGTCTTGGGTTCACGATCGCCGGCATCATATCTTCTCGGGTGACCACCACGACTTCGGAGGCTTTGTTACGATCCAACATATGTGGCACCTGGCACACACCGCCATACGACCGGAACCAAACAGACCAGAGTCTTGAAGATGCTCTGTGGGAGGACAAGTGGGATACTGTACTGCGTGAAAGCTCCAACTTCGCGGCTCGTTGCTACAACACCACGGCACCGTCATCGAACTGTAATGCTTACGGTCGACGGATCATACCTTTCGCTACCTCCACGCATTCTGGTTGTCCATTCGACCCTAGCATGTGCGTCAATGACACAGTTGTCAGGCTGGACTCCGGATATGTCGACTCTCTACAGCATCTTGGTATCAATAGTCCACCGTCTGGCCGTGTCGGCTTCCGCAAAGTCGTCGAATGCGCGCCAATCAAAACCGAGGGTTACAGGAGAACTTTCGACGCCCAAAACTTAACCCAGGACGCTATCGACTTGATCTCCGAAATTGACAGTGTTCAAGGCCATTCTTTTGAAGCATTCTATTACGGTCGGAGTCTAGCCTGGGACACAGAGGCTACATATGTTCTTAGCAACAACTCCTTTGAGACTTCGGCGGGTTCGTTCTTCGTCCCGTATCGCATGCAGTAAGTAGGCAGCCGTGTAGAGTTCCACTGTCTGAGGGACTCACTGACAGCTTACAGCGCTGAAACAGCGGTTCCTTACCGGCTTGGTGCGGACAGCGTCTTCACCAGTTTCATACCAATACCAGAACTCAACCGCACCGACGCCGAAGTGGTCCTCCTCTTCCTGGCCAACAAAGCCTTTTACACGTCACCTGTCGCAGACCCATGGTTCGACGCCCGAGTTCCAATAGGATTGAATATCAGTGTCGGGAAAGGCTACGACTTCGACATGTACTCACCACGCCAGTCGGTCGCCGTGCTCGGATGCACCGACAAGACTGAGATTTGCAATCCGCTCATCGATGGAGGGCTCAATTGCACGGCTATACCAGCACACCTCTTCACTGACAATCTCGACGTCCTCAATCAACAACTGAACCTGACCTCCCAACAGTTCAGCATACTCAAGCGCTTCTCGGATCCACTCACGAATTCAATAGACACCAGCTTTGCAGAAAATGGTGACGGCGGCCTTCTTGCAGGGGATTTAACGGACAACTACATCTCAGCGGGACTACCGGACAACCAATGGATACTCGAGCTTCAGAATTGGTTCGTCATCTTCCTTACCATGGTCCAAATACGGGTTTCAGACTACGTCGGTGGATTTGATAATCCTCAATTCAACAGATATATCGTTGCACCAACACCCGACGAGCAATGGATGTGCTCAAATCAAGTGGCACAACGCGACGACTACGCCTCATTCAGTGTTCTTGGACTCGTCATCATCTTCTGCCTAGGACACGCGATCATGATTCTCAATCTACTCTTGGGCCGAGTGAACTTTGTGTGGCTCAAGCGGATGAAGGGCAATGAATATCGCGCAGCACAGTGGAAAGCAATGGAGTTACTTGAGCTTCAGCGCGCCGCTTGCACATCCGGACTCGAGCCACATGAAAACCACAAGAGCGATTCCGACTCCCGCCTTTCGTCTCCGAGTACTGCTGAATCACGGCATATGTCGCACGTTGAGGATGTCAATAAAGAAGGACAAAGCAAAGAAGTCCCCAGAGTCGCTTCTAGCGTGGACACGGCAGATTTGGAATCGCAGTACGATTTACTCGCACCAAGGTTGGTCCATTTGATACTACGTTCTTAATCACGGATCAAAAGAATTACTGCACCACAACTTCTCCACACAATCATCGTTTCTTCTCTCCCCAGGTTTCCCGTTTCGATTCTGTCAGGGAACAGTAATAAGGGTGATTCATTGTTGAAAGCCCGGTCGCATTGGTACAGCATTTGATCTCGTTCAGATCAGGATCGGGAACAGAAAATGTTCTTGCTATGCTCACTGATCTAGTCCCGCTTTGCACTATCTACTAGGGTCTTGCGAACCACCCTGCAGAAGCGGCAGCTTCAAGGTGGCGCAGCTGGTGCACAGCCTGATCTGCGCAACAGCAGCACCTCATTGTTTTCTATTACCTCATTTCGATCACCTTACGACTTTGTTAGCGGGATGACACTCGAATGTCGCTCAAATGGCATCCGCGGATGAGCTTCACGACAGCTTGTATGAGCCACTGCCGGGGGCAAGACACATCCGGATATTGACTCTTGAGTCGGCGTCGACCCGCGCTGATCCCATCATCTGCAGAATCCAATCGGAGAACTATTATAGTGCCGAATACGCCGCACTGTCTTACAGCTGGGGCATGAGCGATGATGGGGATGCTACACTGAACAGAAGCATTTTGATGAACGGTCGGGTGAAGGCCGTCACCCAGAACCTCTTCGAAGGCTTAAGCCGAATCCGCTCTCATCAAGTCAAACCTCTGCGCCTTTGGATCGATGCCGTCTGCATCAACCAAGCTGATATCGATGAGCGCAACTCCCAAGTGGCTCAAATGGCGGACATTTACCGTAATGCTGCAATTGTCCTTGTATGGCTTGGTGAAGGTCGCAGCGAGGCGGAAGACAGCAGCATGCTCACTATCATGGAAAGACTCCTTGGCCACAAATGGCGTGTGGATCACCTGGCTTGCATCAGCTGCATATCCCATTGTCTGCTGGATGTACAGATGAGCGACTGTGGATGCAGACGGCAATCCACAAAGCAGGACTTACTGACAAAAGCAGACAAATGTCATGAGCTGGACAGAATGTCGGATCTTCGCCCATGGCTAGAGGGATACGTCAATACCAGCGAGGCCAATGCAAACGTTGCCACTCAGAGATCGGCCGCAGTCATTGCTTTCTACTCTCGCCGCTACTGGAGCAGACGATGGGTCTTGCAAGAGCTGTACCATGCCAAGACTACAATCTGGTACTGGGGACCTTGCAAATGCAAATTCTACTTGAACTCCTGGATACGACTCCTGGGACTGCTGGTGCGGATACTGTCAAACCTCTTGGATTTGCGGCCTGGCGACAAAGAAGTTACGCACATTTCGAACGCAGCGATCCATTCTGCTGACGATTTCAAACGCCGCGCGAATTTGCTAATGTGCTTGGCCAACATTGCACAAGGACGGCTCAACGACCTGCCGGCCGTGATGGCACTCTGCGTCTCTTTCGAATGTGGCGATGCTCGCGACAGACTCTTTGCTATCGCAAGCATGTGCAAAGGAGAGATCCTACCTGACTATCGATTCTCTGTAGCGCAGACATCCGTGTACTTCACCAGAATTCTTCTTGAAAATGGCGACTTCTACGTCTGGCAAGGCAATCTCAACTCCACTCTACTCAGCCGTCAAGGTACTGAGGATGAGCACTTGCCATCATGGGCGATCGATGTCCGAAAGACGTTTGTTCACTACAGCAACAGCGCTGGGTTCTCCAGCGGGAAGTCTCTGTCGGTATTGGATCTTACTGACAGCGTGCTCACATGTTGCGTCAATTGCTATGGTGTCGTTAGGGGGATAAATTTGGAGGAAGGAAGCTTTACCTTGGCATATGAGCAAGACTTTCCGACGCGGTCGGCCGGGTCTGATACCAGCTCACGTCCTACACAATGGCATTGCGACAGATTTGGTTCCACCGAACTTCAGGAATTGAAGCTAGGGGACATTCTCCTCGCCCTTGTGGATGACAGTGAAAAGTCATACCTTACTGGATTGTCATTGTTTGTTCTTCGAGCAGTCCCGGCACCTGAGGTCACGTATCGGATCATCTGCGTTCTTGATGGAGACGACTATGTTCTCGAAAACCAAGAAGGACATTCCATTGCAGACGGGAAAGTCTGCAATTCCGGCGCATATCGGGAACTACATGATTTCCCGCTCGACCTGAAACCTTCTATCGAGGAGGAGATCATTCGTCATGGGCACGGTGGCAGCACTTCAAGCTATGACCTTGATGAGGTCGAGGGCGACATGTATTGGGAAGCTAGGAAGTCTATGCAGTGGGCGCATAACAACCATCTCATTCCGATTGTTCGCATGACAGTACGGATATGCTGAACCGCTTAAGCATTCAGAATCAGTCTCTAACGACAGAGCTCCGAATATGGGTTCCAGACATTACACTATAATGAGCAAACACGGAAACAGGAAACCCGAAACCACGTGGATCTTGTTCAGATCAAGATCAGGAGCAGGAATGAAATGTTCTTGCTATGCTCACTAATCTATACTTGCTTTATGCAATCTACCCAATCGAAAGGTTTAGGCACGAGAAAGGCAGTCAAGCCATACTAGTCAAGTAGAATTCTGGCCTACGGGTTGGTATCTTTACGGATTTATCGCCGATGGAAACTCGGGCTTACTTACAAAGCTCTAGATAATAGTATCCGTCTGCCATTGAAATTTCGACCTGCTTGCGCCTAGAGCGCTGAGAAGCGATTGTGGTAGCATGAATTCTCTTGTGGTTGTTACGCTCCCTAATGGACTTCACGCCCTTCGCGAACCGGATGCAGAGTTGCTTGTCGGGTAAGGTTCTCGCAGGCGATGATCATCATGCTCAAGAATCGATCGTACCATGAGCGCGGCTGCTAAGCAAATATCTTCCAATCACTACAGGAGTTAGACCCGCCTGCGCTTTCTGAATTGCCGTCGCTTGGCTGTAGTGGGATTGGCATACACCGTGAACTCGTCACATTCGCCATCACGCTCACCTCTCGCGTCTGCATAGTCGTTGACAACTAGTAGTGAGCCCATGTCCCCGGGATCCCATTCAAGGTTCGGATGTTCGAAGAAGACGTCCGCTATTGATGCTCCTGCGCCCTCCACCTCTTCATTATGGCTATCGTAAGAAAGCAGGGGAGCGCGTGGATCCTGCTCTAGATATGGATTGTCGATGAAGATATCGGCGACTGATTCATCTTCTCCAGTTGCTAATAGTTGCACTGACTCCTTCTGTGCTAATTGCTTCTGTGAACGCCGGTCGACCGTATAGTACGTGGCCCAACGTCTCTCTTGAGTTTTGGACCTAGTTGGGACTGCGGTCTGTTGCGTGCGCTGCACTCCGGTATTGCCGATAACCTGTGGGATTGTCGCTCCTCCAGAAGTGCCGAGGTCTATCTTGCGCTGCTTGATGTCCCCGGCTAGAGCTGCTATGCGAGCCTTGAGTTCCTCTCGTTGGCCCATAGTGAAGGTGAAAGGTCCTCTCTTCTGGATCGTATCTCCGGAGTCAACCGGCAATGGGAGGAGGTTTTGTTGAATGGTGGTGTAAGGATGAAGTCAATGTCGTGAGGAGAACCCGGAAGGAGAGCGAGGACATAGGCTGTTTACCTCTCCGGGGTCCGTGTCGGATTGGTCGAGCACTTCCATCTCAAATGCATTGGATGAGCGTACTTGATAACTGGCGACAGTATCGAATGACGGAGCAAATTTAGGCAGAGCTTTTACAACTTTTGTACAGATCACAATTGTTGGTAGATAGCCTAGGTAAGTAGATAGCGAGATGGGAAAAAGCCTAGGACTTCCGGCGCATGTCTACGGACAAGGCGCCAGATCCAGGACTGTGTCTAGGCTTCGGCACGGCCTGCCAAAGACTTCGAATCACCGTCCTTAAGTCTTGCTCACGTTGTTCCATTTGAGATGGGCGCTGTTCTATGAGTATCTAGCGACGGAATTCTTGCACCTCCTTCAATGTTGGTAAGGTGCTCTGTTACACTTCTGTGCCACCGGTTCACGCGTCCGGTATGATTTCGCCGCTTGGAATACTCGAACCAAGCCCATTAGAGCTGTCCGCGTTAGCATCTCTGGGGTACGCAAGGATACTAAAGGAATTGATATCAAATAAGCTATGCGCCGAGGCAGACTCTTCCTGAGTGGGTTCGAAAGGCTCGGCGGTGAAGACATCGATGTGTATCTCGGCATCTGGAAACTCCAGTCAGAATCCTGCCGAGAACAACATATGTGCATGGGCCAAATGCCTCGCCCTAAACGACACCAAACTTGTTGGCATCGGGAGCTGGATCCAAGACGTCCAACAATCTTCCAGACAGACGCCAGAGGGCTCCAACAACGATGTCGATCGCATGCTTTCCAACGGAATCCGGCGCTAGACAGGTACTGGATAATGGCCAGAGATTCAAGCCAGGCCCTGTCTCTTGGCGACCATTCCCGCCGATTAAGAAGTAGCATGAACGAGATCGTAGCCAGCAGCCAGAACGACCAGTGGAAATCCTTAGAGGGCCGGTTGGATTGCTAGATTAAAGGTTCTTTCTTAAGCCTAAAGAATGCCTTGGTAGATTCGTATTACTTTGTCTAGATCTTCGATACTCTGTCGCACTATCTAGGCTCAGACCGAAAGTACAATCGCGCTGTCGACACTCACCTTGAACGAGAGACAGAAGGTAAACTATCCCATTGCCCTATCCAGATCCGCGATCAAGTCGGCTGCAGTTTCCAAACCGACGGACAAACGAATCACATCGGATCCAGCACCAGCGGCTTCGCGCTGCTCGTCGCTGAGTTGCCGGTGAGTAGTCGATGCAGGATGCAAAATCAGACTGCGAGTATCGCCAACATTGGCCAGATGGGAGAACAAACTGACGCTCTCGACGATTTTGCAGCCTGTCTCGTACCCGCCCTTGACGCCAAAAGTGAAGACAGATCCTGAACCTTTGGGGAGGTATCTCGAGGCTAACTTCCGGAAAGGGCTGGTTTCCAGGCCAGCGTAGGACACCCAGGCGACACGGGGGTCTTTGGCAAGGTATTCGGCGACAGATTGGGCGTTGCTACAGTGCCGTTCCATGCGCAGGTGCAGCGTTTCGATACCTGTGATGGTCAAGAAGGCATTCATCGGCGCCAGCGTTGGACCGTAATCTCGTAGCGCAACCGCGCGGGCCTTTGTGGTGAAGGCGAAATCGCCAAAGTTTTCGTAGAACCGTAGGCCGTGATACGCAGGCTCGGGCTCGGTCATAGACGGGAATTTGCCTCCCTGAGTCCAATCAAATTTACCCGACTCGACGACAATACCGCCCATTGCGTTGCCATGGCCCCCGAGGAACTTGGTGGTGGAATGAACGACGATATCGGCGCCCCATTCGATGGGCCGGCACAGGTAAGGAGTGGCGAGCGTGTTATCGACGATTAAAGGTAGTCCAGCCGAATGGGCGACTTCAGCAATGGCAGCAATATCAGAAATGATGCCGCCAGGATTGGCGAGACTCTCGATGAAGATGGCTTTGCATTTGGGCGTGAGAGCTCGCCGGAAGTTCTCCGGGTCGGTGGGGTCGACAAAATGACAGTGCCAGCCCAGCTTCTTGAATGAAAGGCCGAATTGGGTGAGAGATCCACCGTAGAGCTTGTTCGAGGCCACAAACTCATCACCTGGCTCCATCATAGTGGCAAAGATCAGAAACTGTGCGGCATGGCCTGAGGCCGCGGCGACGGCGGCGCGACCCCCTTCCAAACTAGCAACACGTTCCTCGAGGACCGAAACTGTCGGATTGGTAATGCGGCTATAGAGGTAGCCAAAGTTGTGCAAGTTGAACAGCGACGCGGCGTGGTCGACATCATCAAAGACATAGGCGGTGGTCTGGTAGATCGGGGTGCCACGAGCACCAGTCGTCGGGTCCGGCGCCGCTCCCGCGTGGATCGCGCGTGTTTCGAAGCCGTATTCAATGTTTTTGGCCGGCAGGGCGCGCGACAGCCGATCGGTTGGCGCCTTCGCGGGCTTGTTGCGAATGATGCCGGAGTTGACGCCGCTCCAGGACAGTTCGCCACCCAGACGGCCAAATTCGATTTTGGGGCAGCGGTTCATGATCACTTCGATGCCTGCTGCCTCGGCTTTTGCGGCGGCTTCATCGTTGCGGACACCCAGCTGCATCCAGACTACGGGGACCTCGGTGGCGATAGCATCGTCCACGATGGGACCGACCGTATGCGATGCGCGAAACACATTGACCATATCGACCTTGTCTGGGATATCGCGCAAGTTGGCGTACACAGTCTCGCCGAGTAGTTGTTTGCCAGCATTTCCGGGGTTGACAGGGATCACACGGTAGCCTTTGCGTTGCAAATACTTCATAACAAAGTAGCTAGGACGGTTCCAATTGCTCGAGGCACCGACGATGGAGATTGTGCGGACTGTCGACAGGATCCGACGCAATTGGGCGTCCGGGTACGTAATGGGCTCCATGGTGGCTCCCTCTCGCAGAGACTTCTCTCTATGGAGCCAGAGCGTAGGATGCGTACTGTATCATATGCAAAAGTGGGGTGACAGACGAAGGTGAGGTTCCAGGTAAACGGTCGCAGGATGGCGTGCTCGATAGTACCTGTACCCTTGAAATTTAGCGAGTGAAGTCAATCTCGAAGCTCGGTACGGGCGTACGGGGAAATTAATCGGTCGACGGACTACGGGAGCGTTTTAGTATAATAATTTATTACAAATACTTTAATATTTTAAGAACTTCTAGTTTTTTTTTAGATTTCTTCTAGAAGATATAGGTTTAGAAGCTCTAGTTCTTACTTAAAGAACTAAGACTTCTAGAAGAAAACTAAGTAGAAACTAAGACTACTAGAAGAGAACTAAGTAGAACTAAGACTTCTTAGTAAAGACTAAGTAGAAAATAAGGCCTCTAAAAGGAAACTAAGTAAAAACTAAGGCTTCTAGAAGGAAACTAAGATCGCTAAGTAAAAACTAAGTAGAAACTAAGATATCTAGAATAAAACTAAGCGGAAACTAAGGCTTCTAAGTAAAAACTACGTAAAACTAAGGCTTCTAGAAGGAAACTAAGTAGAAACTAAGACTTCTAGAAGAAAACTAAGTACTAACTAAGACTTCTAAGTAAAAACTAAGTAAAACTAAGGCTTCTAAAAGGAGACTAAGTAAAAACTAAGACTATTAGAAGAAAACTAAGTAAAACTAAGTAGAAACTAGAGCTTATAGAAGGAAACTAAGTAGAAATTAAGACTTCTAGAAGGAAATTAAGTAGTAACTAAGACTTCTAAGTAAAAACTAAGTAAAACTAAGTAGAGCTAAGCTAAAACTAAGGCTCCTAGAAGGAGACTAAGCGGAAACTACGACTTCTAAGCGAAAACTAAGTAGAACTAAGCTAAAACTAAGACTCCTAGAAGGAAACTAAGCT